CCCAAATGATTGGTTTCAGTATTTTAGGTTAACATGAGTTTTTCACAGTTTTTTTGTTTTTGGCCAAGTGCCTTTTGAGTTTCATAGTCACGGAGCGTGGCAGGGCGTCTCTGTGGCTGTGTCCCCAGAGGGAGAGGGGAGCAGCCAAGGCTCGGGGCTGGTGGAAGAGCCGGGGCTAGTTGTTTCCCTCTGTTACATCAAGCTCCAGATTAGGACTGGCAAACTTTCTGTAAAAGGCCAGATGGTAAATATTTAATATTCTGCAGCCTGTATGGTCCCTGTTACAACCACTCAACTCTCCAGTTGTAGCAGGAACAGCCACAGACGATAGTAAATCAATGGACACGGTTCGGTTCCAATAAAACTTTATAACAACAGACAGCAGGGCCATGTCTGGCCCATAGGCTGTTGTTTGCTGATCCCTGCTCTAGGTAATAGTAACTTCAGATGGAATGCTGACTTCCACAACGAAAGAAAAAACAAATAGAAAAAATGTCTTTTATCTTCCATCGTGCTTTGCTATAAAAGTTACCATTCTCTGAGGGGTAGAAGTATGAACAAGGCTCCTTAACAATGAGATAATAGAATCACATTTGAACCATAAAGAAGAAAATTAAATACTCTTACATTTTGGTAACTAAGTCATTTTCTAAATTCCATGATTATGGGTGTGAGAAAGGTACGAAGAGGAAAGTCATTTAAGGCGCTCACTTAACTTTAATTTTTCATTTTCCACTGCTTGCCATCAACCCGGGAATGACTTACCTAAAATGACTATAAAAAATGGTTTCACTTCTTTGATCAGGAAGCTCAAAACTATAACTATGAAGTTAGCAATGGTTTCACTATTATCACAAGTCATAATGGAAATGATCTGCACTTTGGTGGAGAGGAAGAAGCGGGGGTGGGGGCAAGAATTGTTAATTAACTTCACTGTTTCTCCACAAATGATAGAAGTATTAAAAACAAGATTGTTGAAGTGCAAACATCAGGACTTAATGAATGAAGGGATGTAATTGAAGTAACAGACAATGACTTAATCGGGACAGTGGGTTGTTTAATTATGGGGATAATGGATCTTCTGAAAGGACAAAGTAAATGCAACACCAGGGGCTGGGACGTGCTGGGGGAGCCACCGTGCTGAAGGGAGCGTGTGGCCAAGAAATTCTCGCTGGAGATGGGGAGGGCTCTGCTCTATGTAAATATTTGATTGAACATGGTTACCCCCCCAACAGTAACTCCTAGGGGAAAAAGAGATGGGTGCAGGGTGGTGTCAACCTTCACCGAATCGTAGTTAGAGACATTAGGACTTCTGCAGGCACACGTATTTCTGCTTTTTCAAGAATTTCTAATAATCTTAAAGACTTTCTTATAGATATGAGAGTGGGGGCCATTATATGTTTGTCGGAACACTGTTGCCCAGGCTGCCAAGATGCTATCTCTCAGATACAGCGATTGGCAGGCTCATTTCCTGGGTTTAAGAGTTCAAAAAACCATTTCTTGTTTAACTTTGATTACAAGTCAGCCTCCTCTCGCTAGTTCAGCACACTTGCTATGAGTTCCTGCGTTTTCTCATCTCTTTCTGAAAGTGAAGTAAATGTCCTCTCTCCCCTGTGGTGCACTTTGCTGGAACTGAAATCCTCAGGTCTTCGCTGGCTCCTCCGAAGTTGCGGGCATCCGCTCTGAAGTCATTCTCTCGACACAGACCACGCTCAGGGCCCCAATTTCTCCAGCAACAAAAGCAAACATACCTAAAATTTTACAGAGAAGGAAAACCCGTAGAGGAATAGGGTTTATTCCTCTTCTAGCTGTCAAATTGGAATCCCCGGATGGTAGAGTCCGGGGTTACGGGCCTACTGTCACCCGCCCCGCGAGGCCGGGACTGGCGGGACGATCTGTCAGGTCCGCTGCACGCCAGCCTGCAGCGCCTCCTTACGGAGGGAAGGTCTCCGATGGTACCAGACTAGACTAAGCGCGACTCTGGGACCTCTCCTAAATTTGAGGAGAGGCAGAGGAATTCTCCTCCCAGGAGGCAGGGAGTGAAGAATGACTTTCCCGGAGCCCGTTTGCTAGTATAACAATTTCATGTACAAGAAATTGGCAGGGCGTCTTTGTGTGCTCCAAAACACCCCACACCTCAGGGGGACACATCCTAAACTGAGAGGTGTGAAGCCTGCTTTTTAGGTTGCGATATGAGGTGCCGTGTTTCCGTGCATTTAGCCAACAGGCGTGTGGGGGCCTCTTTCTAAAAAAAGTGTCTCCGGCAGGGCACGCTGCCGGGGCGCTGCTCTTACTGCTTCTTTGGCTTTTCTTCCTTGACAGAATTACACAGTCTCTCGCACTCCGGTTTGCTCACCATACCTTGGTTTTCAATGACTTATACCACCTCAGGCAAGTTTGGAAAATCAAAACTACAACCCAGTGAGTGCACGTGCCAGGGAGGGGGAATTCAAGGAAGAGTAGGAGGAGGGAGAAGAGGTGTGGTGGTTAAGGCCGACGGAACTTGCCTGAAAGGAAATGAAAAACTTTGAATTTTTTATCTTGACCTTCTGCTAACATTTTGTCACACAAGTGTAGCCCGGACCACGCGCCTTCCCCAAGCTCCTGGTGTCGTCACCCACCACGAAACAGAGGCTGGGACAGATCCCATAGAAGCATTAAAATTCACTGTCAAAGACACGGCCCCTGGAAAGAAAGGGCCCGTCCCTCTTCCACTTCAACGTTAGTCAGCTGATGGCAAATCCACATTTGAAAAGGAGGACTTATGTGGCTATCTAAAATCATAATTTTCCATTTAGTCTTTCTCCCAAGGGCCATAAAGGAAAAAAGAACCCAAGAGTCGACATGAATTTCCTCAACATCAGGAAACACTTTGATGGTGAGCTCAGTGTTAACAAATCAGAAACACACGGTCTTAACTGACTGTAAAATGATGTTTCAAAATGAAAGAGGGGACAAGTGTTCCGATGCAGAGTATCAAAGGGGACGCAGACCTGCAAGGCTGCTTCGGGCCCTTCACACCTCCCCACTCCCAACCCCGTCTTCTTTCCTCTCCTTCCTGTTGAGGTTCATGTCCCATGAAAGTAAATTACTGCTGGATTCCTGACCTATCGTCACCAGCAAGTACCTGCCTTTGGGAATCTGTGGGGCTCCTAAAATGTCTAAAAGTAAATGCATAAACATCTTGGACCAAGGCCCTGGGTTTGAAGATGAACTCGGGATCAGTGAAAGTGGAGACAACAGGCCCAGATGCAAAGTCTACCTTTTGTTCTCTAAGGTACCAAGGGGCTCTTCCTTGATTGAATCAGACAGACCCAAGGAAGGACCCAGGCATTAATCTGTCTGGATATGCATTTCTCACCAATGCCCGAAGAGATGTGAATTAAATTTAATCGAGCTTTAAACCGCACTCATGTGCAGGGCAATGTTCTCAGTGCTTTACAAAATATAGACCTTTTTAATCCTCACAACCACCCATGAGACAAGCAGGCACAGTGATCATCGTCTCCATTTTACAGATGAGGAGACTAAGGCACAGAGAGGCTTTGAAATTTGCCCTATGTCACACCGCCAGCCAGTGGCAGAGGCAGAGGCAGAATTCAAACTGCCTGGCTTGGAAGTCCTGGCTGTTAACCACTGTTCTAATAGTTCTCCACATGTGGTCCTGCAAGGAGATTTTTATAAATTCGAACTCTCAGGCCACATCCCGGATCTACTGACTTAGAAACTCTGGGGTGTTGCCTAGCAATCGGTGCTTTACTAACTCACTAGGTAATGCCGATGTATACTAGAGTCTGAGAACCACTGCACCCAGTGCCTCTCCCGTGCAGCCAGTGTGGAGACAGAAAACAGAGCTGCTGACTTTCTGCTCAGCTTCCCGCCTCCTGGCTGGCTACTGCAGATGATGCTCTTTGCAGTGAAGGGTGAGCTGTATCTTCAAGCAACGGAGAACTCAAAACAGCTGATCCGTGGATTATTCTCCCACCAGAGAACATAACCATAACACAGTCTACAGCAATGTGGTGCCTTGTCCAATTAGGGGATGAATTCTTCCAGAATGACACTGCAGCACTCGCCATGCAGGGCAGAGCCACAGGAGACAGTTCCCTCACTGAGCAATTCCAGAACCTCACTGTAATTTTCCCTCCTTCTCCACTAATGAGATTGTGAAGAAACCCAGAGTCTCCATAAAGCTAAAGATCAAACCAAAACACAGCAGTCTCTTGCCCAAGTCTCCATTAACAGAAAAGCACGGAATATTCCTAAGTCATTTTGGAACGTGCCATGCCTGGCTTTCTAGAATTCCTGTATGTGCAAGAAATTGGTCCCTCTCCCTGTAAGGAGAGAAGGGGGTGGGTGGGGTGGGGAAGGGTGAAAGGAAGTTCTCAAATGCGCGAGCCCCACCCGCAGCAGCCAGGCAGGCATCTTCCTGCAGTGATTTACAGCTTTCCTCTAAAAATAACTATGAGATCACAGAACATTAAGTGCATGACACCAAACATGTGTAAGCAATCTATGAAAATAGAGTAAGGGCGTCATGTTGCATGGGGAACACAGTGGAATTTGTCTTGTGTTATCTTCCTAAAATAAGACGGTCTCAATTTGGTTGAAATATATCTTCACACATTGTCTTCCAGAGCAGAGCCGTTTGAGAAATTCTGATTGCAATTATAAGTACTGAATAGGGAGTACTTTGCATTTCCTCTGGTGATGCTGAAAGCTATAAGCAATCCTGATATTAAAACCTTTGGAAATTGATGGGTACCATAGGCATCATTACAATACTTTCTCCCCCAATCCAAGTAATTAAAACCTATTATGTGAACATGTGTTAATATTTTATCAACTACTGTTTGTAACTGACGAGCTGTGTGAGACCTCCCACAAGTAGGAATGACAACAGTTCCCTTTAAGTGATGCCCCAGCCCCCACCCCATCCTCTAACTCGCAGCCAGGCTTATTTCCGAGTCCGAGGAGGGACAGCTCCAGCACAAACGTACCACGGTACTGAAGTCCGGGACCTGCCACAGCAGCCAGTCTTCGTTAAGGGTGTACAGGGCTTTGCACGTGATTACATCTACAGGACCCTTGTTTATTTTCTGGTTCAAAGTGGTCACCAACAAATAGAATGGCTCTCCAACGGTCTCCTTGTAAAAGACACAAAACAATGGTTAGCTTTCTGCACGATCTGCTGCACTTTCCAAAGAATTACAGTTGCAGTTTACAGCTGTAGGACAGGAGGCAGGAGGCAGCGTTTTTCAAACAATAGGAAACTCCCAAGGAAATACATATTGCTCCACTTTGGATTGTGAGCAAAATGGAGGAGCGTGTGTGCACACATACACACAAACTCACACGCACAGGGTCGACAGCCACGGGGAGCGCGTGCAGTAGAATACTGAGTAGATGCAGAGGTGTAACCTTTGTTCCTATTTAGTTACTTTTTTTTTTTTAGAAAAACCGAAAATAAATGGCATTTAAAAAAATGCACAATTAGCCTTGGTAACGAGAATAAACATAACGCTGTGTTAGAGACTTGCCAAGGAGGCTGTTTTTGGTGTTTACAGCTTTTCATGCAGAAAGCGGCCTTGAGTGACTCAATTGGGCCATCTCGCCTGCCCGGCTGGCCAGTCCCATGCCGTTTCCAGACAGAGAGTACGCAGTCTCACCTGGGCACCTTTGCTGGGGCGGGGCCACCATGTGCGTGCCCTCCTTCCCCTGGATGGAGCCAGTCCCATGCCAAACATCTCACAGCCACCCTGATGGCTTCTTTCTCCACACTTGTGCTGTGTGCCCTTCCTCCTGGACCAGGGGCCGCACCCCCGCTGTTACTGAAATGCCTCAAACTTGCAGCCATTTTGTGCTCCAATGAAGTCTGGGCAGCCCAAGGGGTAGCTTTTGTGTTCTGCTTCTGCTGCAGCCTTTGCTACATGATAAACCCTCTGTGAGCAACAGACATTAAACAGCTTACACGGGGGAGGGAGAGCCAGGCCAGAACCAGGAAGTTGAACTGCCTTGGTGATGAGGATGAAAAGCCAGCCACGTGACTAGGGCTTGAGGCACCAGTTTACAAAGTCAAGCTTTACAGCCACTACATCTGGCTCTGAAAGGAAGGTCCCTGGACCTCACACTTGCTTTCCCCTGAACATGTAAACGGAGACTCCTTTCAAGTCTCGTGGATCCCTGCTCCCCGACCCCCATCCCTTCCTCTACACTCACTCTGAGAACATGAGCCCTCCCCGGGCCTGGAGCTTCCTCTGCCCCGCTACACTCCAGTGGGCTCCCTCTATCACTTCTCTCTCCCCTGCTGATACAACCTTGAGTCTCCTCGGTAGTGCAGGACAGAAGTGGAATGTTCAAATATTTCCCTGGTGGAGCGAGCCTTGGAACTAGTACCCGACATTTAAATTCTTTTTAGAAACTTCCTTTATTTAGTGGTTCACAACTCAGGCGCTCTCTTCTCTATCCCTCTGCCCTTCTGGGTAACGTCCTGACCACAAACCTAAAACTTCTGCTTCTCTTTTTCCTCCAGTGCACATCAGAGATGGGGGAGTACCTTTGTGAAGGGCTGGATATGCCCATACAGGATGGAGTCAGGGGGCCAGCGGGCTTTCCTGGGGGCTGAGTGGAGGGGCAGCTGAAGTGAGGAATCCTTCAGAGGTCAGCTAGGCTGAGACCAGTAAACAGCAGTGTATACAGGTGGCTACAACCCTGCATACTTGTTACCAGAATCCCTGTGGGCTCTCCTTGAAAATTCAGGTACGCAGGACCTACTTTAGACCTACAGGTCCAGAATATCGAGAGCTGAGGCCTGAGCATCTATGATTTTAATGCCTTCCCAGGGGCCCCTGATGTGTGGCTGGCTTAGGAAACCACAGGGCCATGAGGTTTCTTTGTCACCACTGAACACAATGTCTAGGTTAGTCATACCTACTGAGGGCTTAGGTGTCTTCAGAGCAGGGCATGCACAGTGGCCTCAGTTTACTCACTGATCCTCACCCCTGCCCTTTCCCTCCGGTGATGAGTAAGCTTGGCCTCCTCACTGTCCTTTTGCTGTGAGACCTGACTCTGGCCCTGGCTGAGCCGGAGGCTTTCCACGCCTGTGATCTCGTTCCATCCTTAAACCCTCTCTTAAGCCTGTAAGAAGGAACCTGCCTCACTGGGAAGGCAGTAAGTGGGGTGGCTCTCTATCCCCGGCGCTGTCACACGCTAGCTGCAGTATCTGGGCAAAGTCATATCTATTCTGTGTGCCCTAGTTCCCACAGTATGCCAACTGGTCATATAGGCACTTACCTCATGGGATTTAAATGAGAAAAGGTGAGTGAAGTTTTTAGTATCATGTCTGGCACAGTCAATAAATGGCAGTCATTAATGTCATTGTTGATTTACTCCCAGATCCTGGGAGGTTCACAGGGGTAGTTACCTGGAGGTTCAGAACCAGTGGTGCCCAGTAAACGTTCTTGGGGTAGAGCAGGGGGACTGGGCCATCAGAGCCCCCACACACCCTTGGGCCCCTTGGGCCCTTCACAGCAGAGGGAATGATTCCACTAAAAACGAAAGTATCGCCCACTGGCTCAATGCCACTTCCTCCTACTGAGCACACCGCCTGCTCATCACCAAGTGCTCAAGATGCTCTTCAATCAGCTCTGTGAAATCTTCACCCACAATCCTCTGCTCAAGGTGGTGGCCTTTTGGGCCTGGAGACCAGATTTTTGGAATGCCTCACAGGTTTAACGCCCAAGAGCAGCAAGAGCAAGGCACTGACCAAACCTTGAGGGCTCAGAGTAAGAATCACAAGAGTCCCAGAAGAAAGATCTGGAAAGGAATTTAAACCAAGGACCATGCCCCTTATTTGGTAGATAGAAGCCCAGATGGAAACTGCCATACTCAGAGACACACAGCTACCTGGGGCTGAGATGAATTTAGAGCGAGCAGCTTCTAACCGAGACTCCTAGTCTACTGCTCATTCTACTAGCCCAGTGCTCTCAAATGTAAGACAGGTGGGATTATCTGGAGGAGCTTAGAAAATATGAATAATGGGGCCCCACTCTCAGAGCTTCTGGTTCAGTGGCATTATGGTGGGGAAGCCGCCTGCCTTTCAAGACTAAGACCCAGGGAACTGGATGAGGGTCTCGCTTAGAAGGGTCCTATTTAGAAGCAGCCTTGGTTGAAGCTAGGTCGGGGAAAAGCAAAAAACATTCGCTCCAGAAAAAACCACTCAGCACCTCCCAAAAGCGTATGATGATTTATACCAAGTAAACAGAAGAGAAGGCAGATTTCATTAATCTTAATAAATGGGTACTGCCTTGGGAGAGGAAGGGGTTGGCAAAAAAAAATGTTGTGCATCTACTTGTAAGATTGCATTAAACATTTAACTAAGCACAGTCTATTTAAAGTGCTGCTTTTGGATCTGAACTTAAGTAGCACTGTTAAAACCTGTGGCATAGCAGTATATCTTATTCAAAGTTTAATTAGATTTCAAAACGAGCTACAAATATACAATTATGCAGTTTTGCTGGAATCTGGATGGCTGGTGAAATTAAAGAAGGATAAGAACCTTCTGCACCAGGGGCCTCAGAGGACCAAAGGAAGATTGAGTTCAAGAGAACACTCTTGCTCTTCTTTTCCTGTTAATATTTTATTACGATAATGGCCAACATTTATGGAGGGCTTACTCAGTGCTACACAGTTGCATGCCTTTTCTCATCTGTGCCTCAGAACAGGTCTAAAGTTTTCTTCTTCCAGTTCTACAGGCTATGTAAACCCCAGACTTGGACAGCTCAGGACCTCTGGTAAGTGAAGGAGTCCCAGTTCCAGACCAAGTGGTGGGCTCCAGCCCCCCACTCTCCAAATCACTGGACTCTGCAGAAAGTTTACATTTGAAAATATTTTAAGATTCAATTAGACTATAGCCAGGATCTTACAGTAACTCCAACAAAATGAACTCAAGGGGCAGATGGCTCTTTGGGGACTTGCTTTAATATGGAACGACTGGTTAGAATTGAGTGTAATTACCTTACAGCACATTGGTAGGGAAATGGGTGTTTCCCGGATGCTTCGAGGTCCCTGAGAGTAGTGTGTTCTTTTAAGTATTTGAAATATTCCCTCCACTCAGTACACTTTCTTAAATGGGCCAGTGGGGCTCTGGTTGTTAATCAATGAAGTGAGGTGGGCTCCAAAGTCTATGGCTACAATATTTCACTTATGGAAGGTAAAGAAGTTCTAGAAATCTATTGTACAACATCATGCTTATAGATAACAACACTTAGAAATCTGTTAAGAGGATAGATCTCATGTTCATTGTTCTTACAAAACAAGATTTTGAGGAAATTCTGAATGAACTGCACTTGCATAGGCCAGTTACAGCAAATCAATGTTTATTTTCCCCTTGTGCACTCCTGGTAAGGAGCAAGACTAAGAGCAAGTGAATGACGATGCCATGGAATGCTCAGGACTCATCAAGACATCAGCCTCTGCTAAGAATAACTGCCTGTTGTCTTACCTCTGACACTGTCAGTGCATAGGTGGTTGGTGCGACACTTACCCGCAGAAAACCGGAAAGGCAGACAGACATCCAGTTTGTAAGGAGTTTTTCAACCACGGACTCAGTGCGTCTTAGCATGAGTTTAGGCTGCATGTTACTGGACTGCTCCATCAAGTCCCTGGTCAGCACCTCCAGGATGCTGGTCAGATAGACCAGCTTGGTTTGCAGTGCGATGGTTAAGAAGGAGGCAAACAGACACCTGTTTAAAAATAGAGCCTTGGTCACAAGAGCCAGGACATGGAAACAGCCCGTAAGAGCCCATCATGGATGGATGGATAAAGAAGACGTGTCACATATATTTATATACATGTAAGATGAAATACCATTCAGCCATGAATGAGAATGAAATCATGCCATTTGCAACCACATGAGCAGACCCTGAGTACATTATGCTAAGTGAAATAAATAGACACGATCTCACTTTTAGGAAAAGAGATCGGATTATTTGTGGTGACTAGAGGCAGGGGAAGGATGGTGGGAAGGAGAATTGAATGCAGGGGTCGAAAGGTACTGACTCCCAGTGATAAGATAAGTAAGTACTGGGGATGTGACACGACATGACGACCAGAGGTGACGCTGCCGTGTGGTGCAGTGGGAGACTGATAAGAGGTTAGTCCTAGGAGTTCTCATACAAGGGAAAAAGGCATTTCTTTGTAGTTGTATGAGATTTTGGTGTTAACTAAACTTATTGGGGTAAGCATTTTGCAATATGTTTATGTCAAGTCATCATGCAGTACACACTGAACTCATACAGTGCTGTCAGACCCCAATGAAAGTGAAAAAAGAAGACAGATGACAGAAAGCATACACAGAAAAGGAAAAAAAAACAGAGCCTTAGCTAATGAAGTTAGCCATCAGCTGTGACTTGGCTTGACACATGGGAGCTTGAGAGGCAATGGGGGGCAGTGCAGGGGCACTTTTTTTTTTGTTAATATCTAGGTTTAACCACCTTCATTCTCCATCCATAAAAGCTACACACCAATGTCAACTTTAGGGTATTTTATTTGTTTTCAGCACTTGAACTTTAAACTAGAGTGATAAAAAGAAGTGAATGTCTTTCCTGAATTTTCAAGGTGTTTTTAAAAATAAAAAATAGTACTTCTGCTTTTTTTATTTAGGACTCATGTTTTTTCTTGGTGTTGGGGTTTTTCAGGGTTTTTTTGAGGGAGGGGAAGTTGTATATGTGCATCTTTAAAACAGGGATTTTTGTTGGGTGGTGTGTGAAATGCAGACAGGCAGCTGCATGACCACCCAACCAAGCAGCCCATTCTCAAGATGCCAAGTTCAAGTTGTGGTCTGGAAATAAAATAATAAGGAATTTAGGTTTTATTTCCTCTACTTAATGACTTTCAAAATATAAATAAATTGACTAATACCTGTCCTTCACTGAAAAGTTCTTCTGCTTTTCCAGGGTGTGGATGACTGTAACAAGGAAACTTTTGTTACAAATTAGGGTGTCCAAAGCTGTGAGACTCTCGTTCTTATCGCTGGCATCTCTGTTCTGGAAAATAAGGCATATAATATAATATAATATAATATAATATAATATAATATAATATAGTAACTTAAAGTTAGAAAGTAGATCCACAATGGGTTTTCCAAGACAATGAATTATTTAATATTGAATTCATGATCCCAAAAAACCCACAATAAAAATTCAGAGTAATAATGGAGATGATGATGATAATGATGATAACACTATGAAAGGCAGTCATGGGCTAAAAATGAAAACTTATAGACTTACATGCATATCTTCGGTGAAGATGTGTGTGAAGCCACCTGACTGAGAGGAAGGAGACACTTTTATTATTCATAACATCCAAAGGAAATGAATAGTGTTTTTTGTTACAATACCAAAGTTCGTTTTTAATAAAGTAGAGACACTATTTACTAATCTGAAGAGCCCATGGGCATATTCTCTAATATATAACAAATAATTATTCAGCTCTCAAGAAACACCAATGCATTCTGAAAGCCTCTAAGAAGAATAATTATCATGGCATCAGTCCCATTTTTGGTAGATGAAGGCATCTCACACTTCCGAAAGAACTGACTCAAAGAGGTGGTGGTTAGAGATTATGCAAATATGCAAACCACTCCTCAAGCTCTTTAACAGCTAGGCATGAATGAGGAATTGTGCTGGTAAGTTTTTACAAGTCCTAGCCTAGTATCTACTGTCCCCACATACAATGTTAGCGAAGGAGTGGAGTGGGTTGGTTAAAAGCTAGAATCTGGAGCCAAACTAACTGGCTTCCAGGCCTGGTTTCATCACACACCGGTTCCACATCATCACTGTTGGCAGGTTACGCAACCCTCTGTGCCTGCCTTTTTTCATCTGCAAAGTGGGGACAATGATTCCCACCTCATGGGTGTGGTGTGAAAATTAAATAAATGAATGTATAGTGAATTCTCAACTTCAGCTATTATTGTTTTTATCACTCACTTTTGCCAAATTAGCCCAAAACACTGTTGTCCTGCTTGTTTCTAAAAATATTTTAATGTGCTGTGCTATGCAGCTCCTCGATACAAGCTTTTAAATTAGAATTTTCTTTAATGTACCCTAAATCTTAATGGAATTAAATGATTAAAATTTAAAAGCATGCTGAGTTACACTTTAAATGAATCAACAGAATGAAAGATAAACTAACAAATATTCAGGTTTTTTCTTTCTTTCTTTTTTTGGTAATAATTGTAACTTTGGGCTACTTATCTTATTAAATTTCTTCTGCAGAGAGTTTTGGCTTTATTTGTCAGCCCAAGCAAAAAGACCTCAACTATTTTGGTCAGACTTTCCCTTAGTAATAGGCAGAAAAATCCAACTCTAGATTTGCATTTTCTACTTGTACTATTCTTCCGCTGAACCAACTTAAAGTAGGTGGGCAGTTCAAACAGACTGATTCTTGACCTTAAATAGGAAAATGCCGCTTTGGATTCTCTAAGACTCCTCCTTTCTTCTTCTAGGAGGTTAGGTACTCTGCTTACCCTCATTTCTTGTCTTATTTTCAACAAAACCAAGTAGTCAGTTATAATGAAAAGCAAGGCCTTAAAAGCCAAACCTAGTCAGCAGGTGAGAACCAGGAACTAGTAACACCTTGGCCGCTGTGAACATACAACTTCCTTCGGATTTTGTTGTCTGGTAGGTGTTGACGACACAAAATTTCCCTCTGCCTCCAGGCGAGAGGTGGGGGGTCCCGATCTCTCAACAAACGCCTGATTAACAGAAGGACTTCTCTGCAGCCTGGCACGCGTTTCAGCGCATAGTCCTAATAGAATACTCAAATATTCCCCTGTTCACTGTAGCTTTTCTTAACTATGTAAGTTCAGTTTCAACTTAGGTCTTTCGATAGGATTCTGAAAAACGTATGTTTGTTTTTTCTGGGTTTTCTCCTATAATGATGACTTCTCTGTCTTCTGTTGTAATGCCTTTCCCAGTGGCCTTTCTAAATCGTACATAACCTGGAGTTAAACCAGCTGGGCGTCTCGCAGCCTTCACTCTCTTCTCCCAAGACAGCAGTTTTCAACTTTTTCGTCGCATGGCGCACATAAACTAATTACGAAAATTCTGTGGCATGCCAAAAAATACATTATATTTTTTGCTGATCTGACAAAAAATAGATATAATTTTGATTCATTCACATCTGACAGCTATTGTTATATTGGCTGTTGTCATTTCTTTATTTGCCAGTCTAAGGGAAAAGAGGTCAGTGTCCCTGACTAAAGAGTCCTGTATGGCATATTTTAAAAATTCTCCCAGCACACCGGTTGAAAACCACTATCCTAAGATAATGCAGAATTGTTCCTGGGATTTTTTTTTAACACTCTCAACAAGGGTTCCTTTGCATTCATCACTATCTTGCTCTTGATGACTGAATTTGGAAGATCGGAAAATTTCTTTTTCAGGTCACAGATTACTCTTTTCGGTGCTCAAGAGCGATCATTAACTGTAAAAGCCCACACAGTACTCATGTTGATGGTGGAAATCTCCATCAACATGGTTATCTTATTGCTATTAGAGTCTTAATGGAGAGCTCAGAGAGCTGGGAAGCAGGGCCCGTGATGCACCCTTTGCTGAGGCTCTGCGCTGTCATCCTGAGTCAGGGAATTGAGCTCCCTTCCCTGCACGGTGTTCTGAAGAAATGGATGAGGTGGCAAATGGCATGTCTGGGAGCCTGGTACTCTTGGAGGATATGTTTTTTTAAAAAATACTTTCCAAGTGCAAAAAACTGAAGTCTTATTTACAGTCTTCTTGATTTATAACAGTATGGATTGGACAAAAAATATGGCAGGTGTTTTATGGCAGTATCCCAACCTCCAGACACAACATCACATATCATGGTGCCCACTTCCAGAATTACAGAGAAAGTAGAAATTGCTTGCTGCGTGTGTCTGGGTTTCTGAACTCTGGGTTTCTGGCCAAATGTAACTGAGAAGCTTCCGATAAGGTGATATATGCTATCTTTCGGCCTGGAGAGACTTCTGGCTTTGCTCAGAAGTCTCGGTTTAATCACGACAACGAATGGTTGGTTATGTGTTCCAGAGGTTGGGCGTTTCCTGTGGTCACCAGTTCTAGACAAAAAAGGCAGTCTGCTGAGGCTGGGGCGTTGGGATGCACTGGGGATGACAGGAGAATGAGCATTACCTCGCCAAAGGCGTGGGAGGGTCAGTGAAGAAGGCTGAGTGACTGGGTGAGAAAATGGAGGTGTTAGAACAGAAGTGAGACTGAAACCCGAAAGCGTGGAGTAGATCACTCCTCGGAGTCCTAGAACCATCCATCATCTCATGCAGCTGTTTCTACTAAATGAGGAGGATACTAACTGATTAGCTAAGTAATAACTACTGGAGAGAATCATAAAAACTCTACATTGCTGAAAATGGCTGTTATCAACTCAAATTCTACTATATGTGCCTACTTTCCTACCTCAGCCAGTAGTACTTTTCAATTCCAATTGAGAAGTAATAGTGAATAATCTAGTAGCTGCAATGGAACTCATGCAGATAAACACAACAAATTGGCCAGCCCACAATTTATTGATTTTTAAATAAACTAGCTGGCTTCTCAGCTACAAATTCAGCTCTAAACCAGTAGCGAAATAAAGTGAAAATCATCACTCTGAACTTCTGTCCCTCTGAGGCTTTTGTTACTGGACACAGAGTAACTGCCGGTGACCCACCACTGCTTTCTATCCCATCGACCCAATTAATAACTGTCCCTCTGCCTGCTCTGCTCAAACGAGAGCCGTGTTTTACACCAAGCACATCATCTACAGCTGCCTTGGAAGCAAACACCCGTTTCAACAATAGCAACAAGCACCTTCATTATTATTCAAGACTCAACCTCAAGAACATGATCAATGCTCTTTTACCTCGGGGAAGAAAGTTCTCAGAGCAAAATGTTTGTAGTCAAGGAAGGGAACAGTTCCAAAACTATCAACCACATCCAATTTATCCATCTGCAGCTCGGCAAAGCCTGCAAAACAGAATCCCAAGAGCAATATTTTAACTCAACAAAAAAATGGATAAAATCTTCTGCTGTTTTGTCTAACACAAAGTATGACCTTGGTTTTTATTAGAGAAGAAACAATAGATAATTACTTGGTTGGCTGCAGAGAAGAGCTGAAATAACAGACAAAGTCAGGCCCAGACCCTGCTGTTCGGTTGCCTTCTGTTATACAAACACTTCTCATTACTGAGGCCATCTCCACTTAAGAGTAAAAAAAAAAATGACTATGAAAAAGACTTGTTTTTCTATAAATAAAATTTTGGAGCCTACCATCACGGATCTCTTTCCGGAGCTCGCTCTCCAGGAGCTCCAGCTGTTGGCTCTGCTTGCGACTGAGCTCCTTGGATTTGTGTCTGGTCACCCCCACAGCCACTGAGGAGACAGAGAAGCCAGCGTCAGATTGACAGGTTAACTTAAAAAATAAAAAGAAAAATGAAAAGCCACTTTTATAGCACTTTTTAAAAAAAGAGAGACTGAGAGAGAATAAATAGCATTTAAGAGGTGGAATTTATAAAAAGGAAAATCCCCTGTGACTGGTCCCTCTGAAGCGCAACAGAAAATGCAACCGAAAAACAAAACAAAAAAAACCCCCACTCATCTTAAAATTGAAAACTAAATCAAATAACCTTCACTTGTAACCAAAGGTCCCAGTTGGCTGAAAAGTAATGGAATCAGCCAAGTTTCCCTACAGCCGCTGGGCACTTATATCGTTCCAAGTTTTTTTTTTAATGTTTCTGAACATTGCTGAAGAAATAAAGTTGAGTTGCAAATGCAGAAAGACACCACAGGTCCAGCTGGCTACATAAGTCAAACTCGCAGAGGTCGAGTGAGCTGATGTGATGAGCGGTCCACAGTGAGGCACTGTACCTGACTACAGCTTCTCTCTCCACTTCATCTTGCTTCTACCGATACCATACAGGCAGTGAATCGGCCAGGCTCAGGGCTGGGCTTCATTCCCTGCTCTGCCATTTACCAGCTGTGTGATATCAGGTAAGTTCCTTAGCATCTCTCTGTGCCTGGCTGCCTGATCTGCCAAAGGGCCTACCTCACTGTGATATTGAGAGGATTAAAAGAAGTAACTCACAGATAATAACTTAATATTTTAAATATTGAGACCATATTTTTTTAAAAACTCAACAATTGTCAATTATCATTATTTTATTCTAGAAAGTTCTTCTTCTTTTACTGGAAATTTCATGATAAAGGACCCTGCTACCAGTAGATGGGAGTCATATTGGAGGAAACAAAATTAAATACAGTTTTTTACTGGACCATTTTGTAAAGTCAATGGTTTTAACCATAATATGCATTGCACCTCTTCCAGGAAGGATGGGGCATGCAGTCTTTCCCAAATTTACTTGGTCACAGAACCCCTGCTCCCAGGAGCATTACTTGGCACTGACGTTCCTGAGCCTGCTTGTAGGGCGACCCTGGCCCCCTGCACGTGAAGGGAGCTGGCGGGTCACAGCCACTAAGCAGTGGGTTTTTGGTGGCTGAAAGCTCTGGGGGAAGTCACAGAGCGGGTGGTTCTTAGGCGGCAGGCCTAGGCCAGGTGTGGAGGGTGTTTTCACTCGCAATGTGACTGACCACTGAAAGGTGTACTCGCTCCAGCTGCTGACAACAGGCCTGCCTGAAGTCACAGCATGGAGGGGATGAGAACTTTAAAGGGCTTTGCAGATGCCGATGAGCCAGGAGCAACGTGTTAAATTAAACCCACTTTACCTTAAGGAGCACAAACAATCTCTACAAACCAAGTGAAGGGTGGGGAAGAGCAAGATCACAGGTGCCTAGTAAGCCACAGAGTGGACGTGAATTTAGAATCAGCGGGCAGCCGATTCTAAGAGTGGAGCCCAGAATTTGGAATTTCTGAGGAATCTTCTTACTCACAGGCTGTGCCAGACAAAAGACTGGATTAAAAACCAAGCCCAATTCTGGATTTCAGATACATAATAGGGGTAGACAACTTGGGGAGAGCATAAAAAAATACCCGAAATGATCATCAACAGGGCAAAACAGGGTCTCAGTAAAATGAGTTCACTCCATTAGACCAGTTAATCACACACATAAATCTTGCCCTCACTGGACTGAGGACCACCCAAGGCAGAGAACCGGGCTTAACTCATCTTTCCCAGCGCCAGAGACTGGCAGTTATTAGCAGCATTACAGATACTCAATAAACACAAGGTAAATAAATGGGTATGGAGATGGATGAGGGGATGTGTGAGGGAGCGAGGACCTAGAAGGAGATGTTAGCAACTATTAACAGAAAACCTTAGAAAGGCAATGCCTGGGTTAAGTTGAAAAATATGAAATGCTATGTTAGTTGTGGAAAAGAGCTCTTTTTTCAAAGAAGACAAGAGGAAACAACTAAAAATGAAAAGCAACTCAGAACTATAAGTCACAAACCAAATGGCTACGTAGATGAACCAAGTACGGAGATGAGTTAAGTGACCTGAGCAGAGCAATAGAGAGCAGTGGAGATTGTGGCAAAAACACGCTGAACATATAAGCCCTCTCTCAAGTGGTAGCTGCTACTCAGCTCCAGCAAACTGATGCTGTGGGAGAATTGGGATCCAATGATGCAGATCTTCCAAATTTACAAGAGATTTTTAACCTAGTTTTAAAATATTGTGAACTACACCAAAGTTTTTAAAAATGCTGTGTGGTCAAATAAGACACATTAGTTAGCCGGACTCAGTGAGCAACCACCATGGGGTCGCCATGCTTGAATGAGCCCTGGAACATTTTTTTGTGGTTTTTTTTAAAGATTTTATTTATTCATTTTCAGAGAGAGGGGAAGAGAAGGAGAGAGAAACATCAATGTGTGGCTGCCTCTCATGTGCCCCCTACTGGAGACCTGGCCTGCAACCCGAGCATGTGCCCTGACTGGGAATCGAAACGGCAACCCTTTGGTTTGCAGGCCTGCGCTCAATCCACTGAGCTACACCAGCCAGGGCTGGAACATTTGAATTCATAGTACCGATCACACTTCTAAAATACAGTTCTGCCAGGAAGCACAGGGCTGGGGTAGGTGGCAGGGGTGGGATGGCAGGGTGAGATGGCCAAGTCCTGGGAGTCCAAAATCCCAGAATTCTGAGGGAATCATGTAATTGGAACATTTGTCATTACAATTCAAAGGATCTGGGAAGCAAGGTGGATTATACTTCTCAAACACTAAAATACCATCTTCATAGTCCAGCCTTTTGTTCCTAAAGCATTCTTAAAAAAAAAATCAAAAACATTTAGAGAGCCCTCAGCATGTACCTATCATTCCTGTCCCAAGTTTTGATTTGGGTTTTCATCCATTAATAATTAATTGAAGCAAACAGCCCCTGAAAGCTGGAAGTCCGCCTCCTGAAGAGAGGCCCTAGGGAATAAGTTTTGTGAAAAATTAAACAGGGTACTTACCAAAAATGACAATCACGAGCAAGACGGGAAGCCCAATCAGAAAATACCAAGGGGAAGCGACTGATTCCTGCTCAACATAGAGCTCCAGGTTGCCCAGTTTGACCTAGCGGGGCAGAGAGCACCATCAGACCCGGTCCAGTCGGGGACCCTGTCTCTTTACGCAATTTCCCTCTCCCAAGGGGTTTCCCCAAGAAACAAAGAGATGGCAAGGTAGGCAGGATATCTGAGTTCAAGTCCCATCTCTGGAACAGATTAGCTTATGTGACCTTGGTCCAATGAAGAACATTCACTGTGCCTTGGTTTCCAGATGTCATTGAGGTGTGCTAGACTAGACCTAGAGATTTTTAAATCTTGGTCCTTTGTGCCCTGGGGGTTTAAAGAAGTGGAACTTGAGGGTAAGAAGCCCCTTAGCTGCTGACCAAGGAGGCAAATGACTTACCTCGTCTACATCTTTCTCTTTCTTGGCAACTCCACCTAGGTGATCCTTGAGGGCCTTTACCAATTTTAGTTTTTGCTTATAAAAATTCTATAAAGCTTGTAAAGGGTAAAAGTATATATCAAGCCTTGTTTTTGCATCTATATACAGACAAGTACTAAGGCACATTTCCATCCTGGGAGCCACAGCTGCACCTATGGAGGCATTTGAGCGAAGTGGCCAGAGCCCAGAATCTGGACCCAGAAAGAGGGCCCAGGTCCTAAATCCCAGCTTTGCCACCTGCCCTCCTTAGCAGCTATAGGGGCTTGAGATAGTTACTTGAGATAGTTCCTCACTGTCCTCATTTTTAAACTGTAGCATCATCCTGAAGAGTAAATGTACCGTATCACTGAAGTAAATCAGCTCACGGCACTCCTGCTCAAAACTCTTTAGCTCCTCAAGATAGGCCATGAGGGCCCAAAGATCTGTCGGCTCTCCTGGTTCCCACCATTAACTCTCCCGCTCCCTCAGAATATTCCCCTTTGCTCCCTCCACTCCAGCCTCACCGGCCTCCTTGTTGCCCAGACGCAGCAGGCAGCCCCCTGACTCAGGACCTCGGCAACCTCCGGTTCCCTTCATCCAGCACACTCTAGCCCAGACAGCCCATGGCTGGCTCATTCCTCTGCTCCTTGAGTTCTTTACTCAAGTACTGCCATCTTTAAAGGGAGACCTTTTCTTTCCACCATCATAAAACTGACGGTCCCTACGCCCCTCCCTGCTTCGTTTTTCTCCATAACAGTTACCACCACCTAACACAGTTTTAGTTTTTCTCTGCCAGGTATCTGTTTAGGTCGCCTCCATGAAGGAGAGTGTTTTTTGTCTGTTTCCTTCTCTGTTGTCCCCCCCCCTCCCAACCCAGTGGAGGCACTCAGGAGCTACTTTATGAATAAGGGAGAACATAGCATTTGTTCTTCTCAACTCACTGGACGTGGGGAGCCCTCGTGAATTTAGTAGTTGTTACTGATTTGATCATTATTATTCCCATCTTCACCACACAACAGAAGATAAAAGGAGACTCAGTGAAGCTAAGTGACTCATTTCAGGCCACCCAGCTATCAACCTATGCAGCCGCACAGCTATCAACCTATGCAGCCGGGACATGAACACGGCTTTGTTTTGCCTTCCGGTCTGTTGTTCTTTTTTCTGGTCCCTTATCCAATTATTTATGACTATGGACCATAAAGCATTGCTTTTTCTGTTAGGGCCTGTGTAGACCCTCATATGGCAAGAACACTATAAAGGGAGACTTCTAATATGTTTCCCTTCCCCGTGGCCCCCTATCTTTATTGGAGGACATAAATGTACCAGTGATAGGACCCTCAAAGATATCTGGGAAAAGATTAATCTCAGTGAGTATGACTTCATGGTGGAGGAAGCAGCCCACCACCCACAGATGATCTGGTCTCCCTAGACTCAAATGCTCCTCTGAGTGTGCTAAAGAGCTTCCATTTTGGGATTCTGCTAAGACATGTCATCTCTGCATCTGGGAAAAGAATGACAGCTCATTTGTCAATGGGCCTAGAGATTCTGTTTGCAGATGCTACAGTCTCAACGTATGGCTGGAACAAAAGCCATCAAGACTGATTAGCCATATACACAATGATGTGTTCACGGCTCTGACATTTAAGTAGGCACAAGGATGGATTCTGGCAGCTACTTCAGAGAAATTATGCTTGGGCTCGCCAGCCATACCAGTTTTATTCATCTTCTGTTTAAAGTGAGGATCTAAAGATCCAAGAAAAATTTCATTCTGGTTTCTGGCTTAGCCTAAGAACGCCCCCCCACCCCGGCTGCTGCCTAGTAATGTAAAACTGACACAGAGGAAGGTCAGGTGACGCACGTGAACTTTCTTGGAAGAGGAGGCGATGCTGTTTGCAGTTCTGATGCCTTTAATCTTGCAGAGGATGGTGGTGAGATCTTGATTTCTAGTAATATTCTCAAAGCTGCAATTTAATTGCTTATTTTCCCCATGGAAGAGTGTAATTTCAATGTCTTTCTCAGAAATGTTGAAGTTATCATTTTCTTTCTGTGAACAAAGTGAAGATGAAGAAATCAGGGTGCCTGTGGAAATTCACAAACAAAACTGCACCTTTACATTTGAGGGGGGCACAGCACACAGGAAACATGAAGAACATACCAGAATTTTTACTTCCAGTTCTGTGTCCACCTCGGGGTCAACTCGATATCCTGTAAATCTGGGGTCCTCAAGATACTGCAAGCTTCCACAATCCAAGTAGGTCTCCTGAACTCTCAGCTTCACAGTGACATTTGTACGCACTTTTGAACTCTTTAAACTGGGGGCTGAGAAACTGCAGTAAGTTGCCATACAATCTTCAGAGACCTGAGGAAGCATTTAACAGTCTCGTTAATGAATCCCAGCTCTGGAACTGAAGAACTAAGTGACCCAGGTAACTGAACTTCTTTGTGCTCTGTCTTCTCACCTGTAAAATGGGACAGCAATACCGCCTACCTTGCAAAGCCGAATTATCCTTACATCGCATTAAATGAGATGAGGGACCATTAAATTAAACAAGGGCTACATTAAATGAGATTATCCACACAAGAGTGCTTACAATAGTGCCCGGCACACAAATGCTAGCTCTTATTTTTATTAATATTATTAAGAACAATAAAAACAGCGAGGTTATGCAATGAGAAAAAGACGGTACGCAGAAAGGAGTAGGTTAGAGAAAGGGGAAGATGTTGCACCAGGGAGCCTGTATGTCCTAGCCATCAAAGCTCAGTCCTGGGAAACTCCCCGAGGAGGAGAGGAGCTGGCAGCAAGGCTGGCAGCGGGCCCGCAAGCGGCTGGCTGAGTCATGTTGGGGAACCTCCTGCAGCACTTCAGCAGAAATCACTAACCACGAGGAAGAAAAGGTTTTGCAGGCCTAACGGAAAACAGGAGGAACAAAAGTTAATGGGACAACGCATTCCCTGTGAAAAGAACAGCATCAAGGCTGGAAATAAAGCTAAAAGTGTGGCCCAATTTCAAGTTAATTCATTAAAAAAAAACTAACAAACACAAAAAGTGGCGTTTTCAGGCCTGGAGAGAGACAGGCAGAGAAGGCCGCTGGTAGGGAGAGGTGGACAAACATTTTATGGAAGAGCAATCGAACTTATGGGAAGAAATTTTTCAGGTGGAGGTTTTCCCCTTTCTTTACTCTCTAGTATTGGCATACGAAAAGGAGGTAGGAAGAGGCAACAGGGAGGAATATCTGGCGTGAAGGGCTGAGGTGTGGGGAAGCTAAATCTCCCTCCTCCTTCACTCCCTTCCAGATTCCAGCCTCACATTCCAGTGAGCAAAACCACGAACCTTCTCAGCAGCTGTAACCCCAGTGGGCTGGCTTCTCATGAGGGATGTCTTCTAGAAAGATTACGGGGATGGGGCCACCCTAACCTCATTATCCTCAACTCTCTAGATTTCCATACTAGTTACCAGCTGCCACTATAGGAAATGCTCTTTTTTGTTAGTTTCCAAGCAACCAACTTGGCCGCCTTCACTGGCCACCTTCTTTGCTTTCACTCCTTAAAGTGAAGCTACTCTACAAGATTCCACCCCGGGTGCTCTTCTCTTCTTCCCTGTGCTGCCACTCCCGAGACGCTGTGCCCATTCTCCCCTGATGGCAGCCTAAGGATGGCTTAGGCATCTCCAGCTCCACACTGTCCCCAGCAGTTTAGACCTTCCCTACTGACAACAGCCCAGAGGACAGCAGAGCATCTCAAACACATCTGGACTTTGCATGAGCACACTTACTGGTCTTCTGGCCTTTCCTCAGTTACTGCCGCTCCAAACTATCCTGTGCACCATTGCCAAAATAACCTATACTCCTGTTACTCCCTGCTCAGGGATCTTCAATTCTGCCCATTGCCTAGAGAATTAAGGGCAAAGTCACAGTCTGATACTCCCTGATAGCCCAAGTTTTCCAGCTGCCCCTCTGGCTCATTCCTGACCCATCCTCTGGGTTCCAGCTGACATATTCCCATCCCAGGCCTGGGAGTGACCTGCCCTCGTCCTCTACACCTGAACTGGCCTTTCTGTTCCCACCTTTCCAAACCCTACCCATCCTGCTCCACTCCACAGACATTCTGAATTCCATCCATATTTCCCTTTTGTGTGCAAACACCCGGTGTCTCCTTGGACTTTTGCAACATCTGGGCTGGCTGGGAATCAGAAGACCTAAAATGTAAGGATATCCTATGCTCTCAATTTTCAATGCTGCTTTAGATTTGCCATTTCCTTCCATGAAAGTGATATGACTATCTTATTTATTGTTTTCCCTGTGCCCAGCAAAATGTTTTGCCCACAGTACATGCACAGTAAGTTCTACTCGATCTAGTAACAGCTCTGGGAGGGGAGAGCGAGTCCACTCATAACTTCAGGCAATGCCTATGGTCAAAGAGTCAATCTATGCAAACCACCAATGGGATGCGTTCACATCACAGAGACTGTGGTCTGGAATCAGATACAATGTGAGACTTGGAACTGGCTCTGAAATGCATCAGCAGGTGGTTATGTTTATGATAAGGCTATAAGGATGACTTAGGAAGGGCTCCTGTGTCTAGGGCTGAACCTGCCTGGTCCCAAGCAGGGTCCAGGTCTGTGACTGCTTAAAGACCTGCCAGCTTTGGCAGGAAGTGGACAGGTCGAGTGCACCAGACTGCTGTGTGGGGAGATGAAAGGCAAGAGAAGGCAAGCTCGGAAGAAAGGAACCAAGTCAGGTCAAAGACACAATGGCACGAGAAGAAGCCAGTGATAAGACCTCTGGGGCCTTCACAGGTCACTGACCCTCTGAACGGCAGCTCTCTCTGTGCATTGGGAAAAGCACCTGACTTTCACAGAAATGCCATTCTTCTTTACATCACGCCTTTGCCACTCACAAGGCATTTTCCTACACATTCGTAAACACTGTCTCATTAGAGTGACTTGCCATAAGTCGTACATGGAGGAAATGGCAGGTCTTGTCATACCAAGTTCATTCCTCTTTCCTTTGTGCAACTCGAAATACTCAACTACAAGTATAAGGTCTTATTATTTCTTTCATAGCACTGATATATATACATCATGCGACAGGTAAGAGCATATAATGTGTCAAGGCACAGAAATAAATGATATCCCCCAACATATTTTAGTGTTACAAAAACAAAATGATCTATTACAAAGTAGCTGAGGACTTACATTTATGTTTCCTTTTAACTCATGGGAAATGATTAAGTTGTCAATTACATCAAAATTTCGGCCCATGATGGTTATATTCTGACCACCACTGCAAGAAAAAAAAGGGAGAATTAGAGTTTCATAGTAAACACACAGGCTTTTGCATTGATGAACAAAGTGATCAATTTATTCACATTAAACTCAGTTATGCATGAGAGCAAATTAACAAATCTTAATTTCAAATGCAGGATAATTTTAGAGGTCTTTTAATGATACTGGCTACAAAGTCATAGTTTTTAAGATACACGCATATAAAAATGCATGTAGGATCCTGTTACAACTTTTAGGAAAATGCACAAACTCTTTCATGGAATTTTGAGTTTCGTTGTGCTGTGTTGCCACACATACTCCGATCATCAGCTGTACCTTGAAAAGGTTTCACTGAACAGAATTTTGTTTGATTGCTGCTTAATCTCTATGAAGATTCTTCAGTCTAACAATTTTCAAAATCATACTTCCAATCTACCAATTATATTTTATTTAGGGAGACAGAAAACACTTTAGACGCGATAAAATGATAAATAACATTAAAAGTATATACAGTATTCCTATTTGGTAAACCATATAAATAACAGCTACATTTTTTCTCTCCCAAACCAAGTCAAATGATTACACAAGTCAAATGATATCCCCAGCACATAGTCACACATAAGCAAAGTGGCCATCAGACGTGAAATAAACAGCTGTCCGCACTCGGGCTGCCCTCACAGCCCCGTTCCTGTAAGTCACTAGACACTCGCGCCAGTGGACAGGAGGCTGGGGTGTCGGCCGGGCCGATAATGACAAGGCTGGGAGGCGGGCGCGAGCAGGACAATTTGTGCAGGGCAGAGGGAAGACACTGCGCCTTGAACCTTCCAGCTACGAGGAGGAAAGGCTGAGCAGGCCCCACGCCAGCCCGCCACCATCACTAGAAAACCAAACCAAGCGTGGCCCACAGGCGGCAGAGACACGCTCTTGTCCAGGAGTCCCTGGGAGACATGGGCTCAGAGCGGACAGTAAAAAGCCTCTCGTTTTACGGCAAAGTGGAACGCTGGTGTCTCAGACCAGCGGTTCCCAACCTTTTTGTCACCAGAGACCAGTTTCATGGAAGACAGTTTTTTCACGGATCAGGTCAGGGCAGGGATAGTTTCGAGAGGGCTCATGCGCATAACATTCAATCTCACCTCCTGCTACACGGCCCAGGTCCTAACAGGCCTGGACGGGTGCCAGCCCATGGACTGGAGGTCCCATAGACCGGAGGTCGGGGACCCCTGTCTTGGAGCACCACCCCCTGGGAGGCTGGGAAAGACATTGGAACCCTCCACAGCTCAGTTTCTTCATCTGCAGAAGGTGGCACTCGGAGTAGAGCCTTTCCGCTTGGGAGCATTGACCACATCGGTAGGTGAGGCACACAGCCTGTGGAGAGTGCCGCACCCACAGGGGGGAAGGAAGGGGGCCCAGGGCGAGGGCTGCCATGCTACAGCCCCGGCTTGGAAACTTCGGTTCTCCTCAGGCTACTGTTATGGGAGGGACTGTTGAAGTCCTCATCGCCAGCCCCTCAGAGTGTGACTCCACTTGGAGATGGGGTCTTCGAACAAGGAACCAAGGTTCACTGAGGTCACTGGGGTGGGCCCAAATCCAGTATGACTGGTGTCCTTACGAAAAAAGGACATAAGGACACAGAAAGGCACAGGGAGAAGGCCACGTGAGGACACAGGGAGGAGAAGGCCATCCACGAGCCAAGCAGAGAGGCCTCGGAAAAACCAACCGTGACAGCACCTTGATTGTGGACTTCCAGCTTCCAGAACTTTGGTGACAGAAATGTCTGTCATTGAAGCTGCCCAGTCTGTGCCCCTTTGCTGTGGCAACCCCAGCAACCTAATACGTCCACCTGTCACTTAAATTTAAATAAGAATACTAGAGATGATTTTTTTGTTTCTTTCTCTTCTCTTTTGTTCTTCAAACAAATCTTTATCTGTAGTTTCATCCAGACAGTATCTTGCTGTGTTAGGTGAAGAAAACACCCTTAGGGTTATATTCCAAAACCTGAACATGAATTTAAATTCAACAAGGAAGAAATTTTTTTTCTTGGAGTCTATCTGGAAGAGCTTATTTTGAAATTTCCATCTCTCACTTAGGGAGCATCTTTAGAATTCGATACTGCTTTTGATTTAGATGGCTCCCAGTATTTCCTCGAATTACTCAAACAGCCTACTGTCATGGTTTTAAAGTGACAGATGCGAGAAAGAAGCCGCTTTGTGTCCTGGGCAGAAGTGAGACTGTGAAGAGGGCTCAATGTTTGTACCAGAAAACTAGGCCAAGAAAATTACTACAATGGAACAAGTATTCTACAAAGTGGGAGATGTACGCGATCCGGAGAGGAACCGAAGCGTGAACAGGCACTCTGCTCCGAGCTCCCTGGCAGCCCTGGCTAAGGCCTAACCAGGATGTGCTCGTGGCGCCCCTGGGACACTGGGGAGCGGCCTGTCCCTCAGGTGTGGGCGTGTCTTCCAGGAGCAAACCCTCGGAGGAATCCTGTGAGAGGAACTTAGATAGGAATTATATCTAGGTTAATTTGAGTGAGATCACGATCTTTATGCATGTGACCTTTTTAACCACAACGAGAGAAAACGATGAAAAAGTACCTGATCCAGGTGGTAGCAGGATAGAGGAGGGAGCAGTGTGGCAGAGCAATGTAGGACAAGGACCCCACAGAAGAACAGGCCCCACCATCGAACTGGATACACACGTCCTTCATTTCTTTTCGGCTTGATGGCAGAGAGAATTTCATGTGGGTGTCGTTTAGCACTTGGCTAACCTGTATCCTAGAAAGGGGTGGAAAAGGAACTCTTACATGACACAGACACACAAAACAGCTGACGACCAAGCAGCAGCTGCTGAACTAGCAAACAGTGCAGGCAACCGCTGATTCATCGGGGCCACTTATACCATCGGGGCACATCTGGGGCAAGGTTCCTCTTTCTTTGGTGCATTTTTTGTTTTTATTTGCATTTTCCTTAGAAGTAGGGTAAGAAGGACATGTGGTCACTGTCCTTAAGAAGCCCCAGTAGAAAGTGGAACATGAACTGGGTATTAAGTTATATTAAGAAATTGCTATTAATTTTGTTGAGTACAATAATGGTACCATGTGTATCTGTTAGTGATGCATACTGAAGTATTTTTTTTATTTTAAAGATTTAATTTATTTTTAGAGACAGGGGAAAGGAGGGAGGAAGAGGAAGAGACACATCGATCGGTTGCCTCTTGCACGCCCCCCGCTGCGGACCTGGCCCACAACCCAGCATGTGCCCTGACAGGGAAGCAAACAGGTGATCTTTCGTTTTGCAGGCTGATGCTCAACCCACTGAGCCACACCGGCCAGGGCATACTGAAGTATTCACGAGTGAAAGGATATGGTGTCTAGGATAGGGTCCAAAAAACTCCAGCTGCCATTCTTCCTTTCCCTTCAAAAAATGTGGAGGAGATAGAAAAAACAAGATTGGCAAATTCTGGTAAGTTCTGAGGATGAAGGATGGGTACAGAATAGTTCCCACACTCTTCTCTCTTGTGTATGTTTGGACGTGTCCTTAATGAAAAACTTAAAAAATCAGAAGTCCCAGTCAAGCACTGGGAGGATGCAACCCAACCCAGGTGGAGCTGGGAATGCTGTTGTGCAAAGAGGCCCAGGCATCTCAGAATCAATCGGCCACCAGAGCCAAGCTGCCTGTCAAGCTGCGCCAGACTGGAAATTAGCTGGGACTGTCCTGGCTGCTCCTGACTTCTTCAGGGTGTGCCCTTGTCACCCTTCAGGAGCCAAAGCAAAGCCTTCCATGGCGTTGCCTCTGGAACCTGCAGCTTCCTCTGTGCATCAGGTCTACAGTGGCCCTCTGGTCATTAGGACCGGGCTGCGTCTGAATAATGTTCAGTATAATTATGCTACATGAGAATTTATTACTACTGATGAGTATTAACTTCAATGCACATAGCCTTTAAATTATAGTCATAGATTCAAACACTAAGGCAAATTCAAGAAATATACAAGTCAATTTGTACTTACACTACCTCAGGTTTACATTGTAGTTCTTGGAAATGCACCATAAAATGTCTGATAATTAAAATTCAAACTTGTTTACAAATTTTAGAAGGAATGAGGTGGAAATGTAGGTCATTCCATTACTGTTCTCATGTATTTGCCTTTTAGAATAATTAGGCTTATAAAAAAAACTGTATTAAAAGAGTGTGGGATTACAGCACAAACTCAGATACAGGATTAACTGGGTATGATGTTTACTGCTCATGAACTTGGGTGCACCATGCAAATGTGGTGAGTGAAATGCTACATGCAGAAAGGTCTGTTACTCATTTAATTTAATAACGGCAGTATCTCAAGACACATTCAGAATTGAAATGAGAGCATAAAGAGTCAGGAACGCGGTACAGCTCTGATGAATGACTCACTTTCCAGTGGAGCTGACTGCCTTTCAGCGAACGCACAGGTGTCCAACTTCAGATTTTGTTATACACAATGAAAGATTTTCGCAATAAGGCCAGGAAAATGGAACAAAAATGCCCATGTCACGTAGACACAGCAGCTAATGTGTGCTTGATGATTCTGGTAAATAGCAGGACAGAGGAACGCCACCCGTGGACAGCCTTCCCCAAAAGGTGACAGATACCCCACATGTACTGCTGGGAAGGCAAGCGGATGGCATCGCAGGTGGACAATGAATTAAAAGAGAAAATCAGTAAATAAGTGTGGCAGATGAAAATGCCACGCAAATCTGTTGTAGTTAAAAACCAGAACACTACGCTTCAGCAGGCTGTCTTCAGCGCACTCCCGTGGTGGGACGAGCTCAGAGTTTTCCTTCATGGAGACTAAAGCATCTTTTATTTCAAATCGGCCCAAACTTATAAAAGCTAACATGCAGAAAACTCAAATTGTCTATTGTATCACATCTCTTTTTGGGGGATTGGTGACATGAATGTCAGTGAGCAATTGAAATTTTTTCTGTCTCAAAAGATTCCTGGAAAAGATGAGTTAGGGGAAAAAAAGTCATAGAAATAATGATATTCAAGCAGTACACTGACCAGATACTTTTTGTGTTGGGGTATTTGTTCTTTCTTTCAGCTTTTAACACTAAGTGATGTTCTCTTTGGTTATTATGTGGGCCTGAAACCCATCCAATAAAGAGAAGGCTCTAAAGAATAAGATGGAGCAGAAAGTTTCTTTTTTTAGCTTTAGGCAATCCATTGGAAGAGTTGCCAAATTTTCCCACCGAAATCTGAGGTATTCAACTGCTTTTTTAAAAACCATCATCAACAAAATGACATTTGCTGTTCAAAATACTTGATTTTGTTAATGAAAACAAATGAAACAGTCACTACCCTGAACCTGTACATGGAGATTTTTGGGGTGACAGCATGGGACAGATTCTCTCACGGTTAATCTCAGATGTCATGTACAAGTGATTTTATTCTTAGAAATTATATTATGTCAAATATGCAGAGTAACTGGTCCACTGTGGCACAAGGAAACACTCTGACAACAGAGAGACTCTGTGTGGCGTAGGACTGAGCCTTCCATTACGTCACCGAGAGTGAGCCGCTGATTCTGCACTCACACGTCCTGGTCACAGGTGCTGGTTCCTTTCAGGACCATCACGATGCCGTGTGACGCCTGGGTGAAGTTTGCTCCCGTGACCACCACGTTTCTTTTCCCTAAGGTTGATATTTTCTGTGGCTCAATGGACTTGACGTAGAAGACCTATTAGAAATGATAATTAAAACACAAGATCAAAGCTAAGAAATGGCATTGTTCCAAAAGACCTGGTTATGCGCTGCAGTTCATGGCAATCACTGGGAAATCACAACATGTTGCAAACACAAGCAGTCAGTATTTAATGAAATCAATGAATCTGAGGAAGAGCATGGAAGATTCATGTCTCTCAACATGTGACAGCATGAGGTCAAACCAATTAATCTATGTCTTGTAAGACAGCTGAAAATAGAGTTGAAGAGTATGATGTTCTATCTGAAGAATGAATAGCACCCAAGTCTCCAAAACACTGCCTCACCGCCCCTGGAGGCTCACCACACAAGACAGAGGAGGAGACAAGGAGGCCACTGATCACTGGCCAAGGACAGACTCATCGTTAAGTTAAAATAAATGTCATTTTGGATAAATTTAATTCCCAAGGAAGCAGTTTCTGTGGTGTGTTTCAGCTAGGCTATTTGAATCAAGGAGTATACTGCAGAGAAGGGAACCTCGAGACATCACCCTGTTCAGTCACCTGATACCAAGTGGCTGGATGTGGGAACCACGTGGCCAGCCCCCGCCCCTCCACAGCTTGCAGGCACCACCGTTCCCTGCTTGGTGGCCATTACAAAGGCCTTTCTTTACTAAGTTTCTCCTGCGATCACCTGATACCTAGCCCCATATTACGCACCTCACTTCTCCATCTGCAATGTCTAATCAAATTCCCTTTTTAAAAAAAGACCTTGTTTTGATATCAAAAAATCATTTTCCTTTACAAAGATAGAACAATCCTGATTTCTTTCACTTTTCTCTAAGAAATGTTGCCATCCATCATGTTCATCATTTTATGGTTCTTCTGCAGACCTCTTCCAGCATGTCTGCACTCGTCCATAACATGGCGATGAAAACAGGACAGAAAGTTCGAAGATTCTGGCCAATATAAAGTACCACAGATCTTCAATGGGAGTGAATCACACTCACGCTCCTGATATTTGAAGACAACCCCCAACACATAATCACATGAAATTTGGCAAGGCCTAAACACCAAGTGTATCCACTTGGAGGGTAAAGTTTAAGAGGAAGCATCTTATGGTGCTGGGAGTATTTTAGTTACACCCAACACCTGCCTGCAATGTGCTCCCCGAAGTAGCCCAGTATGTCCTCTGCTTCTCTGTACGTGTGACACTCACCAGGACGCTCTTGCTGGGCTCCCGGCCTGCCCATTCCGCTGCAGGGACACTTTATGGTCCTGCTCCTTGGCACATGCAGGTGCTGAGTGCCAGAACAGTCGCCATCACTCACTATCACCGTGGGCTGGATTTGCAGATTGAGGTAAATTCATGTCATCACAGCAATGATATAATGTGACAGAGAATTGATTTCAGCGGCAGAATTTATTTTAATCGCTTAGTAAAGACTTTAGCCCCATATTTATAGAATCATGAAGGGTCTGAAAGGGTCACTTTAATTATTCTGTCATACTTGAGTACATTTTATGGGGGAAATTAGCTGCAAGAGTGGTCCTTGGAATGGAAGGATTAGCAGAGACTTAAAGATAAATCCCTTGCAAATGTCAAGTGTGTGTTGTATAGCAAAAGGCTTACTCTTGGCTCTGACACCATGACAGCCAAGTGAACGAGTATTTACTGAGCACCTACAGAGCTTCAGGGATGGTACTAGGTGCTGGTGGCGGAGGGGTGGGGTGGGGGGTGGGGGGGTGGTTACCAGGCAAGCCACTGAATTTGCCTGTAGCAGCCGAATCCAGTCTACAGCCTGTTTTCAATATGGCCCAGGAAAAATGTCAAAAAAGAGTAATATTACATGACATTTGACAATACATGGAATAGAAATTTCAGTGTCCACAAAGAAAGTGTTTTTGGAGCACAACCACGCCCACTCATTTGCATACCATCTGTGGCTACTTCCGCCTGACAGCGGCAGAGTTAAAGTGTTACGATAGAGACCTCATGACTCACTGGCCTAAAATATTCATTGCTTGGCTCTTTGTAGAAAAAGTTTGCTGAATCCTACACTAGAAGAGTCCACTGTCTTCCTGGGGGGACAAGAGAAACCATGCATTTGTTCTGTGTGCACATCAGTGCAGATTCTCATTTACATCCCAGTCAAATGCGATTCCCAGGTTTCTTTCTGGATAGTCCTTTCCGCTTCTTATATTTATACTGCTGATGTCTGTTCAAGCAGAATTTTCAAACACACCAAGTAAATGCTACTTCTCTACCCTCATTAGAGAATAAAGATGGCCTTACAACCAATGTACCAGATTTTTAAGGGGCTTATATTTGCTCCTTAAGTGTCCCTACAAACACTATCAGAAGACCTGCCATGTTGCCTTCTTAACTTTTTTTTTTCTCCCTGAATAGAGATGGCCCTACTACTACTTCAAGAGGATTTCATTTAAAACCTTATTGTTTAGAGAAGTTTCCACTGGTGTCTAGGATGGAATCCAACCCTGGCCTATCTCATGAAAGCAGATGCTTTTAGTCTGCTTTCAAAGAGGGTCAGATTAGTTGTCCTTTGTTTGCTTGGAGAGCCTCTCCTAATTTTAATAAGCCAGTCAAAAGCTACCAAGAGGACCTCATTAAGTACACAGTGCAGGCACACACACACACAAGGGGGGGGTAGCTACATGGCTGTGCTATGTGACTGCGATAGTTCTTAGAAAAATATAACATTTTCTATGTTTACTGATAAGGATTCTTAAAATCCAGTATAGCCGAAAGGCAAGGAATGAGCTCCTCTCAACTATTCTACATACTTAATATTTTAGATTGATTTTTGTATTTGATCAACAGTTAATTCACAATCTGACAGGATGTAGTAGCCCCCACAAACTTATATAAAAGGGTTTGGTTAACTTCAAAACATAACTTACTTAGATACAAAAAGGCAATATGTTAGGCCCTACAGTGAGATTCTTCCCCCTCCCTGTGTCCAAGGATTTCCATACATCCAATCAGAGTGCCATAGATTGTAACCTCCACAGCCCTCTGGTGTCTAGCAATTAACCTCAGCATAGTGAACTTCCTGTCAGTTACACTTTATACACTTAAGAGTTATTTTTAAATGGCCACACAATTTTAACTTAGTTAGTAAAACAGTATGAGTTCTGGTTGCTCACAACTTTTAATCACTCCCTGTTTTGTACAGGAAAGCACCTTAGAAACTGGTTAACCAGATGATTACAGAATATCCAACTATTAGTATTTTTTTAAACAAAGCCATTCAAAGTTATTGGAACCAGCATAACCACTGAGACATAGTCATCTCTGAAAAGGCCTAACAAGGATTACTCTTGACAGTATAGAGGTACACGAGTCACATTACCATGACATTAATGGAGAAAGCACTGCTATGATTGAAAAGAATATTGGAAAGAGGTACATTAGGAGCGCTCATTTTATTAAGGCCAAATTGTACTCCATTAAACTGCTCAAAAACCTGAATATAGTCAAGCTCTCTGTAGGCCTGGACCTGAATCAACACTCAGTAAAATGTCTCTCAGATATTCGCTTATGAAATTAGTTCAAACAGGACCGAGAAAAGTCACATGGATTCAAAACCAGCTGGAAATCTGAAACCAAAGGACATTAGAGAGATGAAAGGCAGCATAACTAATTAGAGGGAAGTGTCCTATAGGGCTCTACAGGGGTGAGTATTCGGCTCAGAATTATTTAACATCTTTATTAATGACTGAGCAGGACAGAAGTAATGCATTAGTGAAATGTATAAATTGAGAAGAGTATCAACCAGCAGTAGAGAAGAAAAAGTGTAAAAGCAGAGGAGTTATGGAAAGTAGCAAAATACAATCCCACCAAAGAAAAATTAGAGAGTGAAATGGATCAAAAAGCCTGTCCATTTGCTGCTGGGGCCCCTGGTATGGACCGTGGGAATGCGGGGCGTAACTTCCAGTTGGTCCCAGGAACTGGCAATGCCAGCTAAGATAGACCTGGGGACTTCCCGGAGAAGGTGACAGAGCAAGGCCCGTGCTGTGAGAGCAAGGCTCACCTCTGTGACCCGGGGACTCTAAGGTGAGGCTGACATGGCCCAGGCTGGGGCTGCCAAGGCCACTCCGTGAAGTTGTTACCCTCCGTCACTGAACCTTCCCAGCATGGCGCCTCTGAACTGGACTGGCCGCCTGGACTGGCCTACCAGGGAGGGCAGCTCTTCCTGTCCAGTAGAGACCCCTGCTTGCAGACTAAACCCAGCCACTCAAAATCCACCCCTCTGCTGGGTTTCTCAGCATGAGACTCTGGCTGCTCCACTCTCCTCAGAGGCCCAATTTCCAGTCTCAGTCCTGGAGAAGATGCTGGCCTTCCTGGGTCTGAATCCTTCACTATGACACACCACAGCCTACCCATCTCCCCCAGAGGCTTTGACACTAAGGCCTCTGCCCTCTACCCTCCTGCTGCCCAGGCTGCAGGTCTTCGTCTTGCCTGTCAGTGGCACAGACGGGGCAGGCTTTGAGCGCCACATGCTAAGAGAAGCCAGTAGAACTTTCCTCCTTTCTGGGCTGACTTTCATCATCAATATTTGGTTTAATACTAGTTTATATTCAGCTGAGGTCATACATTGTAGAGCAGTGATTAAAACCATGGGCTCTGGCATCAGACTGCCTGGGTTCAAGTCTCTTGCCAGTCATTTACTTTGGACTTATCCTCCATAAAATTCCTTTGTCTATAAAATGGGTAAAATAGGTCTATCATGAGGCTTAAATAAAGAGATATTCTGAGCTTAGGATACAGCATAGGCTCAACAAATATTAGCTGTCAATATTTAGTTTGGTACATTCTGGTATTCCTTCTCCTGTTTTTTTTCTATTATGCACACTCAACTGCTACTTAAAAATGAATCCTACTTCCTCCAAAATATTGAGTTTTACAGCGTAAGCTCCATGAGGGCACACATTTTTGCTCGCCTGTCTAGCACGGAGTAGGTGTTCAATAAACATATTTGAATGAATGAAGGAATAAATGAGCAATTGGAAGTGGATCCTGCAGCACCCAGTAGGCCCACAGAAACTACTTAACCAGGTGCATATTAAAGTTAACTTCACTCTTAAGTGCAAGGTCCTTGAAAAGGTCAATTTGGATTGCTTGCTTGTGAGAAATAAAAATGCATATTCAAAAGTGATGGAGGAAGAGAAAGAAAGGAACGATTTGGATATAAATTCCTTGAGAGAAGACGTGTTCAGCAGGCAGTCACCAGAGTAACACTGTTAAGGAAAGGAAGGCGAAGAAGTTGGGGAGGGAAGGGGCTGGCTGACTCAGAGAGAAACTGGCCTTTACGGCTGAAAATACCTCTGGTCCACAGGTCAAACACTGGGTTTTGAGTTTGTTTTCCTATGTTGGTGATGCTTTTCCATAACGTAGCCCCCTGGTAAATGATGGCACTTGTTTTTAGATCAGGGTACGGGCATGAGTCATAGGTTATGAATCTGTGCAACACCATCGAGCCCAAATTGGGAGTGAACCAGAAACCCTATCTCATAAGTTCCATGTCGTTGGATGAGCAAATTCATCCATTAAAATAAGTTAATTGTCACGAATCAGAACCATGGACACATAAGACCAAAAAGATTTTCAACAGCATTCTATTGTCACTGAGGAACCAAGTGACAGCTCCCAGGCCTGGCTGGTAAGGCCCTGTAGATGCAGGCTCCAGGGTCCTTTCAAACTTAGGTCCCACAGTTTCCTGCAACCTGCTCCAGCCAAATTGAATCACTTGGGGTTTCCAACAATGAGTGCCCTAGAGTTTTCTGGCACCCCAACTATGCTTTTCCTTGTGCTAATTCCTCTACCCAGAATACCCACTCCTTAGTCTCCATGTGGCTGGAGGCTTCTCATCCATCCCTTAAAGGTCAGCTGAAATGCCATCTCTGTCAATCAATCCATCCATCAATCAAAGACTTAACCAACCACACTGATTAAGTGTTTTTAACTGCCAGGCACTGGGTTTAAATAAACAGGAATGACTAAGATAAAGCCCCAGGCACAGAGAAGCTCTCCGGGTTCATGTACTTTCTGGTACTTTCCCTGTTAACATTTTTTATCTTGTATGCTTACTCATGTGATCATGTATATGATTCTTGAGACTGATGGCAAGAGAGGTACATGATTATTTATGTCATCCTCATCATATCCATGGATCTCAGTAAAATGGAAGCTAATAGGTGTTCCATAAACACCTGAGAATCAACCTTAAACACTTGAAGAATCAACCGGAGCTTAGCATCATGAAGCTTTAGACTGTGTCCACACCATTCACATCTCATGTCCCCAGTGCCTGGCACATCGCATCTTCCCACATCACATTCAAGGAAAGTGAGAGCTTCAAGGAAAGCTCTCCGTGACGTTTCTGCTGGGAAGAGAGCGATCAGTGATCCGAGGCCACCGTGGAGACCCAAACGGGGAACCTTAGTTTTCACATTCCACAGGATAATGAAAAACCACAGTGCTTCAGAGGACATGAGAAATTCTGCCTGTGACAAACAGCACTCTACTCCTTATCAACCAAAATTGAGGTTCTGTTCTGAGTCACATGTTTAAAGATAACATTTGAGTAACAACAAAATGACTCTCTCCAAACCAGGAGAGAGGTCGTCCCTGGGGAAGCACTGATGATTGGTAGGTCTGGGCTTTACTTATTTTCAGCTTCTTCCTTCTCTCTTGGTGACCCCAGGTCTTTTAACCACACAGTATCAAGGTCAAAAGATACAGGAAGACACTACAGGAAACCAGGATTCACTCAGCAATTTTATTTTTTTCCCCTTTAAAATAAAAAGAAATTTAAAAGCCATTGCCTGGACCATTACTCAGCAACAAAAAGGACCAAACTAGTGATACATAAAGGAACTGGGATGAATTTCCAAAGAATTATGTTGAGTTAAAAAGACCAATCCCTAAAGGATACATCTGGGTGATTCCACCTGGGTGAGAGCATCATGGAAACAGGGCACAGATCAGTGCTTGCTACGGGTGGTTAGAGATGGGGAGGGATTCGGGTGTGACTATGCACAGCCAACGGGGCGTGCCGGAGCTGCTCTGTATCTTGACTCTTGTCACTCTCGATATCCTGCCTGTGATGTTGTGCTATAGTTTTGCAAGATGTTAGTTGCTATTGGAGGCATCTGGGTAAAAGATATATGCTATCTCTCTCTATTATTTTTTATAACTACATGTGAACCTACAATTATCTCAAATAAAAGTTTAATTTTTTCCAAAGCAATCTTGAGAGAGAGCAAAGTTGGAGGACTCAAACTTTCTGGTTTCAAAACTTATTATAAAGTTACAGTAATTAAAACAGTGTGTTATGGGTATAAAGGTAGACACACAGGCCAATGAAATAGAGACCCCAGAAATGAATCATCACATGTACAGTCAAATGATTTTTGACAGGGAGACAACACCAGTCTCTCAATAAATAAAGGGTGTTGGGAAAAATGGACATCCATCTGCGAAGAATGAAGCTGGACTCTTTCTTTATATCATATAGAAAAATTTACTCAAAATGGATCAAAGCCCTAAATCTAAGAGTTAAAACTATAAAGCTCTTAGAAGAAAATGTGGAGGAAAGCTTAATAAAACTGGATTTAGGAATGATTTCTTGGATGTGATATCCAAAGCTGTGGCAACAAAAGAATAAAAAGAATAAAATTGGACTTCATCATTAAATTAAAAACTTTTGTGCAAAAGATACAGTCACCAGAATGTGCAGGCAGCCTACAGAATGGGAGAAAATACTTACACATCATATATCTGTGGGGGGTTGACATCCAGAACATAAACCCAACTCCCACAATGACAGAACACACAGCAACAGTGTGCCAAAGGGTGGAAGCAACCCAAATGTTCGCCCACAGATGACTGGATAAACAAAATGTGGTCTATCCACACAATGGAATATTATTCAATCTTAAAAAAGGAAAGAAAATCTGAACGTGCTACACAATGTATGTCCAGTCACTGGAGGACATTACGTGGAGTGAAATAAGCCAGTCACAAAATGACAAATCCTGTATGATTCTACTTACATACAGTGCCTCGGGTAACAAAGCTCAGATTAGAATGGTGGGTGCCAGGGCCTTGGTAGAGGGCAAAACGGGGAGTTATTGTTTCAATTACAGTTTCTGTTTTGCAAGAGAAAACATGTCTGGCAATGGATGGTGCTGACAGTTACATAACAGCGAGAGTGTACTTAACACTATTAAGTACACACTTATAAAAGATGATAAAGATGCTCAATTTTACACTATGTGTATTTCACCAAGATTTAAAAAACTGAAAAACAACAGAAGATATGTTTAATTTTTTTTTAGGCACTGCCTCCTTAATCCAAGTTTCTGTCACTATGCCTTAGTTTCATAAATCAGTGGGGAGAGAAAGGCCCATCACTTTGTAAGCCAACAGTGAACAAAACCTCAAAGACTTTTAAAGCCTGAAATATTGGCACACCTAGTTTTTCTAATGCCTATAACTAACTTCATAATCCATTTTGATTCACATTCCCTTTGGCTGTTACTTAATTTTGCCTGATGTTACGATTAACTTTTTGTTGTCATTGAAAGCATGGTACTTATTTATATTGGCGCTTGACCTTAAATAGCAGCAAATGGATAAATCAAGGCCACAGATTAGTCATGAAACAGAAAACTGAGCCTTTAAAAGAAAACATGTTGTTCTTATGTTGCTCCATGGACTCCTACTGGACCCCAAGGTTAATGAGAACAAGACCTTGTCCTTCTTTTGTTTTCACCCCACAGCAGACGCTCAGTTAACGTCTGTCGCCCGAATGAAGCCTGCACTGCTCTGCTCTCTAAGCGCAGCCCGTGTCTGCGGGAAAATGTTCACCTTGGCTCCTCCTCTCTTTGCAAACATGTCTGTCAGTGGAGGTTCATGATTTACTGTAGAGAAAATAAGAGGAATTTCCAAGGAAATTTCATGGAAAATAACCATTTTTGAGAAGTGGAAAGGAAGGTGCATATATTATATAAAAACAACTCTTTGTTTTGGAGTTATAAACTACTGGTTAGACTGTCTCCACAAAGTAAGGAAAGGCAACCCCACCGTGTCAGCGTGCACACCTGGTGCACTCGCCCTCGCCACGGCCCCAGAAATGCGACCAGAAGATGTGGTCCGCACTGCAGTCCCCTCAGTGCTGTGCGTCTCTCGCCCTCAGCTCTCCCCACCGGAGCCACAAAGTCATCCTTAAACTCTTCCTCCTCCCGGAACAACACTTCTCACAGTTACAGAATTTTCATTTCTTTTATGTGAGTGTGCCACCTTTGATGTACTGAGCCAATTAAATGAAACTTGGTTTAAAAACCAAAGGTAAAAAAGGGAATTTCGGTAGAAAATAAAAAAGGGAATTTTAAAAAGGAACCCAAAGTGGTAGTTGTTATTGTTACCTAAGGGGGGATTTTTGTGAGACCAACTCAAACAGTGGCCTGACCTGCGAGCCGGGGTGGGTTCTGTTACTCTTCGCAAACCCTCTGCCTCCTGGCGTTTGGGCTGGCGCCCGCCTCTCCACCACAGCCTGGCAAGGTTCCTGAAATGAAAAACGTCCCTTCAATATCCATCCACACAGGTGGGAAATTCGGAGTTTGAAATAAACACCAAAGACTGGCTGCGGGGCTGCAAATGCCAATTTTGATTAAACCTTGTGATACCAAAAGTGTCCCGTTACCTGGTTTCTGTAGGAGTCGGAAGGGCCGCACGCTGTGAACGGGTGGACACACCTCCCATTCCTACACCAAGCACAGCCTGCTCCAACACACACTGGGCACCTGGCGACATGGAAAACCAGCTTAATTCCTGCAGTGAAAAAAAATCTCCATACCCTAGAATTTCCCTCTGTGATATGACCACATGTGAGCATTTGAAAGAAGGAAAAAAATCCCTGAAGAGACTGTGATGAACCCAGGGGAGCGAGGACAGTCCTTTGAGGCTGGATATAGAGCCTTCGGGCTGACTGACAGCCGCCACCCCTGCAGGGGCATTGCCATGGAAACCTGAGGCTGGGATCACCTCCCTGGCAGGTAGACCACAGGAACCCACTGAATCTGTTTCTGAACTTCCCACTGCTATTTGTTTACCCTCAGGTAAGTTTCCCTCCAGAGACTGGTCTCTCCCTCCTCGCCCCACCCCCATATCAGCAGTAACACCACCAACTGTCCAGTAGATGTGAGGCCACGGGTGCTAGCAGAGGGAATGGGATGCCACTGTTTGCTTTTTAGCCAAACTGAGGAAGAGCTGGGTCTACTAATCAAATGAGATCTATCCTGCGTGGGTAACAGTGGAAAGCTTGAACAGCACTTACAGGATAATCGGAGCTAAAGAACAACAGATAGAGAGACAGCGGCTGGTCTGGAAGCAGCTACGGGAAGCCAAAGGAAGGCTCAGCCCAGGGACAGTGGAAGGACTGGTGCAGGGGAGGGGACACTACTCACGGTTCATACAGTCTTCGAGAAATGCCAAAGCATTCTCAGTTTCTGACCTACAGCGGCAGCAGGCTCAGTGGAAGAAGAAAACCTAGGCTCAGGGTTTCTCTGGCTACCTAAGTGGGCTAGACGCAGGTCTGTGATTTGCATTCCTATTTCCCCTGCTCCCTGCCCCTCCCTGTGTGTCGGCTGTACTCTACTTTTCTAAGGGGAGCAGTTACCCAAGGAAAGGGCGTTCACCCTCTGGGAAGCTGTGGGTCTGAGGTCTGGTTGTTAATCACCCAGCTATGGGACCTGGGGCAAGTCACCGCTTTTGTCTGGCCTCCGCAACTGGGGATGGAGAGCTGCATTGTTTCAATTCTCTCTGAGCCATAAAATTCTATTTAACTCACTCCCTTTTTTCCTATTTTCATGGACTTCTGGGGCTTTCTGTATTAAGTCTATTTTTCTTTTTCACTCCCTCGTTCATTCTGTTTATTAAAGATACCTGAACTGAATCCTGCATGGGTACAGATAAGTTCTGGGGGCCCCTGACCTAATAGCTGCTGAGTGGCCTCCCAACTCACTTTCGAGTTTGAATTCATTTTCCCCAAAGAAACAATGGTTCCCAGGCCAAGCTAAAGGAGCTCACATTTGGTACTCACAGAGCGGGTCAATCAAACCACTGAACAAACTATAGAATCACTAATAATAGAGCTTCCCATTGTTTCCATGGGAACCTCTACCCCATCTTCCAAGTGGAAAATCAGGAATTTGAGAAGCATATTCCTCTGTCTTCTCTTTGCTTTATAAGCAAGGAGTGAGGCTGTGGTACTAACTCAGGGGATTATGTAGCTCATTAGGGCCAAACATGGTGGGAAAAAAATGTGGAGCGGGGGCAGGGAAGAATTAACATGTTCTTTTTTAAATTAAATTTATTGGTGTGACATCGTATACATTTCAAGTGTACAATTCTAGGACACATCATTTGTATATTGTATTGTGTGTTTACCACCCAAAGTCTAGTTTCCCTCGGTCACCATATATTTGATCCCCTTCACCCTCTTCATCCTCTCCCGACCCACTTCCCCTCTGGTAACCACCATACATTGTCTGTTTTGGGGGCTAACAAGTTCTTTGAAGAAACAGACTTCATCTTGTCCTTCTTGAGTATGATTTCCCCTTATCTCATGCTCACACCCTCTTTCTGGACCCAAATTCTCAAAGCCATTCTGATCAGGGGAGAAGCTAGCAGCACCCGCCTACTGTACTTACTTCGAGGCCACCTTCCGGTCTTGGGCAAATGTACTTCCCTCTTGGTAGAAACACTTCGGCACAGCTGTGTGCTCCTTAGCTGCCCCGCCTGCCTTACTTATCAGGGCCAGAACGAGCAAGCTTAGGAGCTCAGGGGCCCTCTCATCTCCCATTAGGCCACGCTCCAAAAGGCACTTTAGAAGGTTCTACTCCACAAAAGAGTTCTTTAGGAAGTTGAGGAGTAAAGCAAATAAATAAATAAAAAACAATGAGAGAATATTTAGACTTCAAATAAAATCTTACTCTCTTAATGACGAGCAGTTGGTAAAGTTGAATCTTTTTGATAAATGCCAAGAACCGAAGGAGAATGTCACGTTGACAACTAAAACATCTGGAGCAGAGGGGGGAAAAAAGAGTCATTTACGGTGGAGTCCTGCTATCAACCGGCAAAGCTGTAAATGCAAAAGATAAATATTTTTGCCTCCACTGCAAGGGTGGAGGGGCGCCAGCTGCTGGCTCACATTTCAGTCAGTATGGGGTTCCTTCCTGTGGGCTGTGCACGTCAGGCCGCCAGAGCGCACAGCACAGGGCTCCAGACAGACCCGGGCCCACCTCACGCCCCAGGCCTCCCGTGGATAATCACTAGGAAAAAGCCATTTTCCAGCCCATTTACATCTCATACTCTCCCCGGGATCACTATCTCAACTTGTAATTGGCCACAGCATAAGAATAAAACAAGTCACTGAGCAAGAAGTGCCTAGAACGTGAGAATCAGAATGTGAGGGAGGAAGCTGTGCACCATCAGAAAAATCCGCACCACAAACACGACCTAACATACTCTACAGTGTGGCTCCCGTGGGCCGGGATCCGCGCTCTGCTTGGAGCCGACTGTCGCCAAAGCTCCGGTGCAGGTTTCCTTACCAACATTTGAAAACCTACCTACTGGTAGGAAACCTCCAAAGAATAAAGTCAGAGATATACACTGTGCTAAATCAGCGTTAGAAAAATGTCCTATTTCCTGTGCCTCTCTAACTTACTTGGTACCCCATCCAAGATGCTTCCCAAACCCAGCTGTCTGTCAAAATCACTTGAGAAAATGATGAAAATACAGATTCCTGAGCCGTGCTCCTCAGTAGTCTGACTTAGCAGACCTGGGGTAAGGCCGGGAGTCTGGGGTTTGAAATGCTGCCCACAGAATGACTGTCTTCTGCTGGATTTGGGTGCCCTTTGCATCCTGTGGTGACCAGGGACCAGTGCCACTCTGTGATGTTTTCACTGTCATCTATTTTGGTATTAGTATCTTCTTCCTTTAAGGTGCTAGCAGATGATGCTGTTTTTTAAATGAGAGAATAAGAAGTCAGCCTAACTGTGGGCAGCCCTCATTTCCTTAGTGAAATTTCAGTACCGGGCACTTTCACAAGTCCAAGAATTCTGACTAACTTGCCTCTCTACAGCAACACAACTCATTCCAAAAGCCAGGGTGACCCATAAAATTCGGCTCACATACAGTAGGTCTGTGTAAAATGATAGTCCTCTGTTCTAAGACAAGAGGTTTGGAGGGCTGGCTTGACCTCTCAGCAAGAGCATTAGAACAGACACTTGCTAAGTGTTAGTAGAGCAGATGTTAGCACTGAGGGCCAGCCAGTGAAAATAACATGTCAGTGGAATCTACAAGTGTCCAGTGATGAACACGAGCAAAAGTTGTGCTTTGCAGCGTATCAGCTGTGCACAGAACAATACTGTTGTTGTTCATGGGGAAAGATCATGGGGAAATAAATGCCTCTCGAGGCATTTACAGTTATTCTGGAAGGGATAAAAATAACTTAGGTGAAAAAAAACACCACAATGATAGCAGTCAAGGAAACACCCTAGGGGTGGTCTGGGATCCCTGCAGTGCCTGGGGTACCTGTGGGAGACCAGGGTGGGTACTAGAATGACCAGGACAGTTAGAGCAGAATCCAGAAAAGTTGCATGAAGAGGTGACTTTCCCCCCAGCATTTGAAAGCAGAAGGGCACTAGGATTTGGTGAAACGGGTGAGGTTACTCTAGGCCGTGGACAACAGTTTGGCAATGGCCGTTGGCTGGCGGAATGCAAGACGTGGGAAGTGAGTTTGCCTGCTCAGAATTCAAGGCACTTGAAAAAGGGCAGGTGAAGGGTTGGGTGCTATTGATGGAGGCCCTAAGAGCACCTGGCTAGCTCTACAAGGTAATCACAAAAACTTCAGAAGCACATTTTATGAGTGAGCAAGACCTGCATTTTAATGACCAAAATTAACTAGAAGCACATCACAAGGGCGGTGTAGTATGGATGAAAAAAATGTGGAAAACAGAAATAATTTTTCAAGCAATTCAGACACAATCATCCACCATGAGCCCAATAGCTGAGAGGCATTTTTAAAGCTGGGCTCTCTGGCCTGGTGCATTCAGTTCCCTTCTGAGGGATTTTGAGTAAATTAGGTAACACCAGCTCTCACCCCAAAACTCAGCTTCATTATGATCTTCACCCATTCTACAAGGACTGAATGATGAATTTCCAGTCTCTCTCACCCAAAGAGACTCATGAATTCTCAGTCTGTCTACTCTAACTCCCAGCCATTTCTGGACTCCATCCACTCATCTTCGTTTCCACTGCCTCCATCTCAGCTCTCACTGTCTGTGCTCCCCCCCCCCCCCCCCACCCCAGCACGGCAACAGCCTTCCTTCTCTCTGATCTTTCAGAACTCAGCCTCTCACTCCTCTGGCCCATTCTCCACCTGCAGCCATTCATTCATTCATGCAACAAAAACCTATTGATTGCAAAGGGCTACTTTGTGCCAGATACTTTGTGCCTCCTTTGGTATCCATTTTTCCTCAATGTGCGTTCCACCTGTCCCTACCTCATTTGCCTTGGCTAAACAGAACCTCTTTTGGCTGCTCAAACAAAGCTTTTTTCTCTCCTGGCCATCATACTAGTGGGTCTTTTCTTGGAATACTCTGCCCCCTCTTCTTTAGTTGACTCAACTCTACTCATCATCTGGGAAGCTTTCCTTGCCCCTCTGCCACCTGCCAAGTCCAGTTTGGCATCCTTTTCATGTACTTCCCATGGTATGCTCTAGTCCCCGTATTCACACTACATTGCAGCAAGATGTTTACTTGTCTCTATCCCTAAAATAGGCTATAAAAATCATGGCCAAGGACCGAGTCAGCCTTTTTTGGTTACTGTATCCCTAGCATCTAGCACAATACCTGGCACATAGTAGTTGTTCAATATATACTTTTTGTATGAATGAATGAATGCAAGGAACTGAAGATGATAGAACACTGGCCACTCTATTTTCTCTTCTCACCAAGGCCATTCCAACTTTTCAGGTGTCTGAATTCTCTGAACCATTTAGGTAGGAGCAGCCCAATGGTCCCTGGTTTTACTCCACTCACCTATCCAACTTACCATCCTCTGTCATTCTCAGTCACATTTGATAGTAGGGCCCTGCAGTAATGGGAGAGGCAGGGCAGAGGTGAGCAGGACCGAGGGGAAAAGCAAGAAGCAGGAAGTAGGGAGAGAGTGGGTCTGCAGGGTGGGACTATTCAGATTTTTTGTCATCTAACTTGCTCTCTGGGCGATCTGAAGTTGGGAGGTTCTCTTGCCTTTTTCGAGTCCTAACAAAAAGCAGCAAAGAGCCCACTTACCTTTGTAGGGTGCTGTGGTCGGGATGTTGCAGGTGCAGGTCTCATTCGGCCGGCCCTCACCCTTGCAGAGCTCCCTGCCGGTGTCTGCGTTCCTCACCACGCAGCCCGAGCGTCTGGGAGGGACGCTTCCCACCAAAGTCACCATAGCCTGTGCGGGGGAGAGGATGACTCGGGAACCAAACCATTGTTTTTGCCTCATTTCCATCCATTCTAGAGCCTTAAGTGAACTCCCCCTTTGACCAGCCATAGAAGAACTTCTCAGGTTGCCGACGAAAAGAAGGACATTTTTGTGGCTGCTTGGTTTACTCTTTTGTGAATCACATACTCCGTTCTTGGACTATTTTCTTCTTCTGTGTATTTTTTCTGATATCTATGTAGTATAGATATTAGTACTTATGTGTCATATTACTGACAAATATTTTCTCCTAATCTACTGTTTTTCTTGTAACTTGTGTGTGCTGTCTCTCACCTTACACAACATGTTTTTATATAATCAAATACAAGTTCCGTGTCTTGGTTATTAAGTTCTTCCCACACCCTTGCTTACAGGCAAATAGAAAGCTGTCTCGCCACCTTTATTATTTTTTACAACTTATATCTTTGACCCATCTGGAACTTACTTTTATATATCACATGAGATAAGGGTCCAACTTGATTTTTATTCAGATTGTTAATCAGCTATGTCACAACCACTTACAAAACAAAACAAAGAAACTCTTTTTGTCCCCTTGACTGAAATAACCATTTTTGTCATATATTAGGTTAGCATAGATCTAGAATCTATTTCTGAACTCTGCTCTGGTCCAATTATCTATTAATCTACTTCTATTCCAATGCCGTCAAGTTTTACTACTGTGACTTTAAATATATTTAATATCTAATATTTACTATCCCTTTTTTCATAATTTTCTTAGCATTTCCTAGACATTATTCTTCTATATAATGTTTAAGATCATTTTGTCCAAAGGGAGTAAGGAGACTGAGTCTCACTAGAACTGTACTATAAACATACACATTAATTTTTAGGAGAATTTATATCTTATGATATTAAGTATGCCCATCCAAACACATGATTTTTTTTTCATTTGTTTCCCTTTGGTCCAGGGTTCATCTATGGGGGTATAACTTGATTTTCCAGGTGTCAGCTCTGTACTTCTTATTGCTAATTTCTAATATTAGTTTGTAGTTAAAGAAGGTGGACTGTGAAATCTATATTTAAAATTATTTCAGACTTTGTCTGTGGCCAAACATATGCTCAGATTTGGAGGTGGTGGCTGTGTGTGTGCACGGGGACACACACATGAAACCCCGGCATCTCCTCTGCAGCAATGCTCCCTCCAGTGAGCTAACTAGAGGAGCAAGGCCTACCTCTCCTACTGAAAAGGAAAATTAAAGGAATTAACATACCAGTGGTGGGCCCCTTTGTCTCAGACGCATGGAGGGGAACTGGTGGGAAGCAGCGCCCTGTAACTGGGATGGAGAGCCCAGTCCCAGACAGCCCGGGAGGTGTCCGTCTCCCGTCATGCTTCTGCCCAGACTGTCCGCTGAGCCACCTAAGATTCTACTGTCTTTTGGGCTCTGATAAGCTTGCTCAGTCTATTCTAGCCCAGGGGTCAGCCCCATCTTTCCATTTCCATAGAATTCTGTTTCCAGGACATACAGTCACACCGGAAGAAGGCAAGTTCTTACAGTCCAACCTGGAAGGACCAAAGTCCAACCATCTCTAGGGACTTGAGGCTAGTAACATCCCCACACCATTCCCACCAGCTCTTCTTCAACAAGTGGCTGAACTCGCATCCACCTGCCTTCTCCCACCCTGCATTCATATCTGCACCGTGCATCTTAGCACATGGTCATATCACATATTACTCTGTGTACATATACATCTTAAATGTATTTCACTGTTCAGGTATAACAAAAGTATCAGAAAGTTTGTTTAAATCTCATCTTTAGCTGCTGTTTTAAGTTTTCCACATTTCCTGCCAGTCCTCACATATGTAATTTTAACATAACTGTAATTATCATACTCATTTATTCCGCAAACATTTATCAAGCTCTTAACATGTACCAACAGCTGCATGGAGTACTGAATACTTTAGTGAATCAAACAGCTTTAGTTCTTGCCCTCAAAGAGCTTACAGTTTAGTAGAAGCATGGAGAAGTCCACTAGAGTAAACTAGTCTCGTTTCAGGGCCACACAGTATTAAGAGAGCATTAAATGAAAGAAGCTGGGCTGTGACAGTTCAGTGGAAATGAGAAAAAACGAACAGATCACATGCCCTTTAGTGATAGCATCGGGCGGGATTGGAAATGGGGTTGTGAATAGGAAGGGTTCGGCTGAGCAAATGGATGGATAGAGGTATGATGTACTGAGATGGGACACAGGGAGGGGCCAACTTGGGGACAAAAATTCAAGATTTCAATTTTGGATGTGTTCAGTTCAAGAGACTTGTTTGATAATCAAGAGGATAGAGGCCTGGAGCTTGGAGGTAGAGATAAAGGGGACATGAACATGTAGCTGTGGGAATAGATGAGATTGCCTGTGAGTAAAGTAGAGAGCCAAAAGAGAGGAAGAGCCAAAAATGGGCCTGAAATAACTAATATTTCGAGCTAGATAGAGAAGCAGCCAGAGAAGCAGGCCAAAGGGGAGACCGCATGGAGAGCGTGTGCAATGGAAGAGAGGGTTTCAAGAAGCCAGCCAGTCCACCAGGTGAGACGAGGACCGCTGGCACCTGCTGGAACAGCTACATGGACTTCACCATGGCCTCAGCGAGAACAGTTTCTGGGGACCAGTAGGGCAACAGCCGTCCTGTGGTGAGCTGACAACAGGAGACAGCACGGCTTTTTCAGGTGCAGTGGATGGAGGGGTTAGCCAGGAAGTTGAAAGTACTTTTGCCTAATTTGGGGTGAGTATGGTTAAAAAGTTGAAGCAATGATTTAATAAACCCAACAGGGGAATCCTTAGCAGATTGGTAGTTCTTTCTTGACCTATGCTGGACTAAGAGAAAATGAAGACACAATGGATCAGATAGAGCGTCTGAGTGTTAATTAGCAGATAATGTCCACAGGCAGCAATGAACATTCTACCAGGCCAACTAACATGCCACATTTTAATTAGCCATTTCCCTTAGTGCCAAACAGTTCCGTTAATTCCGGGTTTCTAATTCTATGAATGCTACTGCAGTAGAATCTGTATGCTTCTGGGTTTTCCTCTTTCAAGTTACTTCGGAATTCTAAGCCTGGAGTTGCTGCTTCAAAGAATGAATATATTTATGACTTATGAAACATATTGTCAAATTGCTTTTCAAAAACATTGTGCTAATTGGCACTGCCAACACTAGGTGTTAGCATATCTTATTATCACTTTAATTTGTATTTACTCGATAACTGGTGAAGTTGAGCATATTGCCATATCTATGTCTAACTCTCTAAACCCCTTCTTGTGAGGGTATGTGCTTTGCCTACTTACTTTTTGGTGCTGTGATGTTTTTGTTTTTAATTTCTCCTCGCTTTAATACCTTGTAATTAATATTTTGCCTATTGAAAATGTTTTCCTAAAGTGTGTGCTTTAGTTATTTCTTATTTTTTGTTGCATAGATTTTTTAAAGTTAAGTATGACGATTTCTTTTTGGTACTGCATACTTTATTGCTTCATAGCTAAGAAAATTATACTTCTGAATTATCTGATGCTCAATTCTATTTTCTGTTAGTTAGTCTATGTCAGCTTTACATATGGATTTCTTAATTAGCCTAAATTTTATTTTTATATAGAATGTAAAATGTGAATTGAATTACAGTTCCATATTGTAAGCCAGCTATCTTAGCACCTTTATGAAGTAGTTTATTTCGTTTTCTCTTATTGTATGGCGTTTGATCTTTAACAATTTTAAATCTATTTCTCAGCTTTTTGCTCTATGTTATGGAGTTAAAAGTACATTCTGATTTTTAAAACAGAAACATGGCTGAATTATTGTCAGTATAGATGTTTATAATCATACAGAAATGGTCTTGCTTAAAGAATTTTCCTTTTTGAAAAATATTTTGGATATTCTTGACCTGTTCATATTATTCCACATGAATTTATATTAATTTTAAGACAAGTCTATTCAAATTTCACTGGGATTACATGAAATCTAGAAAACAGATTGAGGAAGATGTGACATTTTTGATATCTTCCCGCCAAGACACAGTATGTGTCTGGAAATAGTCAAGATATTTTCTGGATCTTCCAAGAAAATACCTTGTGTGTTTTTGCTTTTATTTTTACTTATGCTTGTGCTTTTAATTGATAAGATTTCCTTATCATGAATTATAAGTAGCCTCAATAGACCAATGCCCCAAATTCTAATTACTATTAAAAAATCACTAGGACAAGCTGTTGTAAAAATTACTATTTTTGGTAGTTGTCTTCAACATGTATTTTCTAGTAAAATAATTTTAAATATAGAGTATATACCTTGGCCTTTAAAATCATAACAGTGTTTCTGTTGTTCTAATAAATGGAATCTTTGATTAATGGACATGAACAGTTTGTTTTACTTCACAAGTAAGAAAAATTATTGATTTTTAAAATTTTTCTAAATTTATTTATTTTTAGAGAGGGGGAAGGGTGGGAGGAAGAAAAGGAGAGAAACATCAGTGGGTGGTTGCCTCTCGCACACCTCCTACTAGGGGCCTGTCCCTCGACCCAGGTGTGTGTCCTGACTGGGAATTGAACGGGTGACCCTTTGGTTCGCAGGCCAGCACTAAAGCCACTGAGCCAGACCAGCCAGGGTGGTTATTTATATTTAAATGCTTGCTGAACACTTAGCACTTCATTTTATTTTTATTAATTTATATAGTTATAAAAGCTAATGTGTTTAGATTTTGCAGATATATAATCACTTAAGAGTGGCAAATAGTGATATTTTTGTCTATTCCACTCCAATAATTATTTCTGTTACTTCTTTCTTCTATTAATGGATTGGACAGAACTTGAAAAACAGTGTCAAGTGTATTAGTGATGGTGAAATTCTTTGTTTTCATTCTGATTTGTAAAAAAAGGTTTCTAGTGACTCTCCATTAGAAACTATGCTGTCTGTGGGAAATACTTCAGTTCTGCATCTTTTTCCTGTTTTTATCAGTATAAGCCATTTTTACTGAAGGTTCAAACCTCCTTATAGGTACACACAAACATAATTTTACATAACGCAAAAACAGGGTGTGCCATACATCCTTTTTGTTTGTGTGTGTAAGGATTTCATTTTTCTTTTTTTTTAAACTCATCTATGTCTTCCCTCTGCACCACCTCAGTCATTGCATCAGGGAAGCCCATGTTTGCAAGCCAGCAATGAATTCTTCCATATTTTCCTCAAATAACCACAGAGGGGCTCATACACATTAACTTATACAGGGACTTTTGATCAATATAAGATCATGCTACACATACGTTTCAGCAGCTTGCTGTTTTTACTCAACACCACCTCATGGAAGTCCCTCCAAGATAATTGGAATTGCTCTAGTTATTTCTTTTTAATGTTGATTTCTTAACAAAGATGACAATATACTATCTTCTAATTGTTTTATATATAGAAATAAAGCTTCTTGGGAACAGCGTCTTTGCGTTGTATGGGATTTTTCTGTACCCAGAAAGTTACTAGAATGTTACGAGGCATGTGATGAGCAGTTTGCAAACACTCTGTGAAGAGAGAGCTAGTACAAAGAATTGAGGGAAACCGTGGACTGCCATCTATATAGGTCAGGATCAGGTAGTACTTAAATAAACAAAGATCTGAGAGTTTCCGGTAAGTCATAAATGACCACAGGACAGAAATATTTTTGAAATAGTGTGACCAAGAGATGAGTCAAACATGTTATCAACACTGTTAAAATAATAAGTTCAAAGTGGATTTCAGAGATGACGTTTACTCAAATTACTAAATCCTCATCTCCTTTACCAAGAGAGTGACGATCGGCTGGAGAGACCAAGGTAGTGGTTGTGTGGAACAGGCTAGAGGGATTAGAATGAACCACAGTGGGACTTGGGTGGGGAAGAAAGTCCTGGTGGTTGTTTGGGTGGTAAACATTTTTTGTATGTTCCAGGCCAAATATAAATGGTGACGGATTTATACTAGTAAGCCCAGAGCTAGGCAAGCAAATTGTATAAGCAGCACTTTTTGTTTAATAAACAAGTTACTTTCCCTCACTTTATTTAGCTGAATTCTTACCCTTAACATTTTTAAGATGATTAAAGAAAAAGTCTCGCACAATCTTAACCACTCATCAGAGTCCTGGGTAGAGTCAAGGATCACAGTATTTGCTATCATTCTCCATCAGTACCCAAGATTTTCCAGACTAATAAGAAGAACAAAAATTAGGTCACACCTATGCTTAGATGCCGTAAGCACCTTTTTTTACAGAATCTGTTCACTCAGGCCTGCTTAAATGAAGGCTTTGAAAGTTCTTTTTTTAACACACCTCCCAGGAAGACAACAGAAAGTGACAACCACCAGAAAACCTTAAGTCCTTCAGTTCTGATCAGTTATGACTTCAAAGCTTGATCCGTTTATTATTTATCACTCATTAAATGCTCTGGCTCTCCTTTATTAAATGTTAAATCATCTTAAGTGGTATGGTTCTTGCTATTTGAAATGGCAAAGTGTAAGAGAAAAAAGAAAGTGGCCCATTTCCTTGTTAATGTGACATTCAAATAAAACAGAGGGTGCTCAACAGGCAGGTCAGCTGGCTGTTGATGGGGATTCTGTACAATTATTCATAATACAAGAGCCATAATTAGGGAGAAAACGTCTCCTTACAGCACTGCTGAGAGAGCAAGGCAGGAATTCCATTTTCCTGTAGGACATGGTTGGTGTGTGAATCGGAAAATGCTTGAATATACTCATTTCTTTTTTTCTCTACTCCAATGACAGGGCTGATTGGCAATTCTGCCCTGGCAAGAGCCCACCAGCTTCCTTTCCAAGGGCCCCACTTGCAATATTCACTGCCCACATTGGTTTCTTTCCCTGCTACCAATATTGCTTGAAGCCATGTTCATAAAATAGCTGTCAGGAGATGCCTGAACACATAAGGAAAAGGAACCGTAAAACAAAATGAAATTCTACACTAAGCCACCTTTAAGGCACCTTATTCACCCTGAGTCTGAATTTCTTTTTTCTCTATTTCTTTAATCAATTTGTTTTTCTACTACATTAATAGTTCATCTCTTCTTTAAATTCAACTATTGAGGGTCATCTGCAGCTCCCCAAGATAATGGGCAGGTCCGCAAACAATGTGTCTTGGCCTCTGGCCCATCCCTAACAGCTCGCGGAGTAGGGGGCACTCTACATGAGTCAACTAAATGAATGACTCTCCTAACTGAGTGTATTTGATTGCTAACAGGCATTTTACACACAGAAGGAAGTTAACATCAATGGTGCAAAATAAGACACTACAATAGAGACAAATTAAAATCTTTCCTCTTACCTTGTCTTTACCTCTTCGAGATATGTGAATTTGAGGGCACCTTTTAGGTCCTGATGAAATATCCAGCCAGTTTTCTGAGTTCTCTGAACGTACACAATCATCTTTAAAAGTACACCTATTTAAAAAAAAAGGGGGGGGGCAACAAAATAGCAACCCTGCACATGCATTAGTTAAAACTCACATACTGGCTTTGGTGCAAAATACCAGGCTTTGTATAGTGGATTATTGACTTTCAGTGAGAATAGGAAGGAGATGCTAAAACCACAAAAAGCAACAGGAAAACAGCAGAGTATTTTTTCCATCATGTCTCGGAGCAGAGAGCCATCTCTCAAGATGACATCTCCAAACGCTGAAAGCACATCCTCTCATGGATTCTGAAATTAAAGATCTCCCTTCCAGAAAAAACCTAGCAAAGAATAGCCCAAGAAAGGGTTTATATATTGCATACATTTTCAGTTTGCATTCACTCCAGAACACAAATCTATTGTTGTAGTATTTTTGTAGTTAAAAACAAAAAGTTATTTTGTGCTTTGTAGTATGATAATTTTAAAAAATGTATTAAAGACAGAGGCTTCCCAAGAACTTGATAAGATATCCCATAACTATGTGCTACATTTATTTATACACACACACCAAATTATATCAAAAGATATGGGGGAAACACTTTCCAGGGCTATTTTCCCAAGTCAGCGAGTGCAGAGGATGCCCCAGATAAATCAAGCTGTGGCCAGGGCCAACTACTACAGTAAACATCAACAGAAGTAGAGTGGTGAGATCACTGGGTTTGCTTGATGTCTCAGTCACTCCGGGTCCTGCTAACTTGGGAACTCTTGCTTAACCAGAAGGGCTGCCAACTCAACAAAGAGAATGAACAAGTGCCATGTTATTTTCAAATGGTGTTGGACTCTGCAGACATTTCATTGAATAATGTTGAGAAAAAAAACTCTGTTATTTAGGCCTCCTTGAGGCCTATGGTTAAAATGAAGAGGTGGGAAAGAACCACTGCATTGAGTTTTAGAAGAAACTGAAAATTCATGAATCATAAGCTTGAAATGCAACCAAATCATAACTCCACTCAGCTGTGGGGAGTCCCTGAGAGGATCTGAGTAAAATGAGACGTGGGCCCAAACAGTGCATTTGACATGCGTTGACATTTTACAAGTGCTTCTTTCCTCTTCCTCCTCTTCTCTCTTTTTTTAAAATTCTTAAGAATTTAGGCTGCATGGCTCGTCTTTGAGCTCTGTGCTAATTTGAATATGACACAAATAGAACAGGAAGCCAGTAACTTTCATTAAACATCATCTGCGAACACAATATTCTCAGCATGTGATCATACTCTAACACTCAGGGGAACCCTGTTCACGGTGAGCACGCCTGTGTCTGGACTCACCTACCTCTGTGTCACTTCCTTTTCCAACATCATGACCATGGGGATTTTCATCAGCCATTCTCCAAAGCCGTAAGTTTATCTGACCCCTCATGGCTAGCTCATCTGTCATGGACATTAAGTTCAAATTAAACCACCTCTCAATGTCAGGGGGAGTTTGTAAGGGAGGGGACAAGTACCATTGTACTGGAAAACAGAGAATGATGAGGCTGATTTCTTGTTTTGTAACTGAAAAAAATTAGGACTGTGAAAAACTACCTGCCAGTCATGTGCACTCTGGATAGTATGAGGCACTTCCTCTGCCTATAAGAAAAAAATACCCACTAGCTCTACAGAGATTAGAGTGCAAATATTTTTGTAGGCTCTTAATGCTGCCTGGGAGTCAAGGCCTAAGGCTGCCAAAAAAACAAGCGTAAAATATTTCATACAAATAGTGCTACGATTTGCCAATTTGTAGGCAGAAAACAGTAGTGCCCTTGAGTTATCACTCCCTTTTCTGAACTCCTATAGCATTTCTTGTTGGATCCACACATTTCGGTATTTAATCATATGCTGCCTTGAATTACAACTTAAGTGTTTCATATGTCTATGTCATTTCTCCCCAAGTAAGCGCTAAGCTCCTCAAAGGAAGAGAGAATGTCTTAAATATTTCTTCAGCAAATCCTTCAGTGTCTGGCAGCATGATATGCAAATACTAGGGTTTCAATAAATATGTTTGAGTGAATGGATGAAAAATGAAATCTTTATAGGTCTTTTCTGTTGGTGATTTTTGTTTCTAGAGTTTCCCTCTAGTCTGACTCCTACCTACAGTGAAGAGACTATTTTTAATGTACGTTAGAAGTTGACATCCGAGGCCATAGAGGGAACAAGTGAGGAGTGGAAGTTTTTAGTTACATGGATAAATATATATACACATACAGGTATATGCATACCCACATATATATACACACATATACAAGTATATAAAATAAATTTATCATTTCCTATTTTGGATAAGGTAAAAATAAAATCTAACCATGCTAAGGAACTAAGCACGAATTTCCTGTTTATAAAGCACTTTTGAAAATTTGAAATTTCTAAACTCCCATTCCTTGTTTCTCACCAGTTAAAAACTAAAATTGAAAAAATAAAAACACAGACCATGACACCAAGAATGTATAACCAGATGGTCAACCAACAGCAGTGTCTTATTACTTCTCCAACATCACGAATTATAAAATCTTCCTGACAGCACATTACCCACATATTCGAGTTTCTTAAGGAGGGGAGCAGATTGTAGAGGTCCCACACTTTGGTAAACAAAACCAGTTACTGTGAAATGATCCCTTTTGAAAGTTAACCCTCTGAGTCCTATGTCTGAACAAAAGCAGTGACCAGCCTGGGCGGCTTGGCCCAGTTGGTTGGGCCTTGTCATGCAGAGCAGAAGGTTGATGGTTTGATTCCCAGCCAGGGCACATGCCTGGGTTGCAGGCCTGGTCCCCAGTTGGGCCACATATGAGAGGGAACTGATTGATGTTTCTCTCTCACATCAATGTTTTTCTCCCTTTCTTTTGCCCTACCTTCGCCTATGTCAAAATAAATAAATAAAATCTTTAAAAAAAAGCAATGGTCCAGTGCATAAACATTTATGCCATCACACAAATAAAATTAAAATTGAATTGTCAGACACAAGGCTTGGTGTGGGGGATCCTCAGCGAGGCACCCCCAGGAGATGGATTTCTTAACTGGCTTCATGTCATTTTCTTTGGGCCACAGACTGGAGGGAAACTGGATTCAGAATGGGATGAGCGCGTTCTGGAGAACATGGCAGAGCCAGATTTGCTTTCCTTACCTCACTCTGCTGCCTTTACTCCACCCACTACTGCAAGTTTATCCAAAGATCTCAAGATCCCCAATCAGTATTTTATTTGTCTAGTCCTTTATCCAGCTAAATCTCATGCTTACATGGTTAGGCCAATGTGCAACACTGGCGCATTTGCAAATGTAGAAATGAAACCTCTCAAATGCAAAGAAAAGGCTGCACGAAGAAAAAACAAAACCTATATGTTAATTTAAAAAATTAAAAACTTTCCTTAGGTGAAAAACATTGTATGTGGAAACAATTTAGTGAAGACAACTATTTAAGGCTTATTCTTATCAGTTTGCCATAAAATCTGCTGTAGAGTTTAATTTATTCAACATAGTAAGAGTTTGATATTGCCACTCGGGTACATAAGTACATGGACTACCACTTCCCCCACCTATAAAGTATGTTTCAAACCAACCCTGCCTCAACTCATGAATAGGGAGATTCCAGACATTTGTTTCTAAGTTTGCTATTTAGAATTCAGAAAGCATTTTCATACTGTTCTTGAGTTTATGGAAATCTGTCTAAACCCCAACATCCTCTGGTAACTACCCCACCATGCACCTGCATGGGGTGGACACGGCTCCAGGCCAGGCACTGGTCTGAGTGTGCACACTTAGCACTTCCCCACTAGTCCACACAGAGCCTCATTCTACAGGGATAAAAGTGAAGCTCAGAGAACTGCGATGACATGCCAAGGTCACCCAGCCACAAGTGACCAAAGTCCGGCTTCAGAACCATACACTTGGCCACTCCATCGCCCAGCCTCCCGTGAGTCTTTGCTGCCATTTAATAAGGCACCTAAGGATAAAGACAGTCATCCTGGGCCTCCTGGGGTCTCAACGGTGGTTGGTGGCAGGGCTGGGACTTGGCCAGGATGAGGCAACAGAGACGAGGACCCAAGACAGAGAAGAAAGAGGGTGAGGCAGAGTCTCGTGGATGAAAAGGGTAACAAGGGTTTGGGAGGGGTGGGGATTCTAAGATTTATTTAATTTTCATGGATCACTAGCCCTGAATACAGAATATCCAGCTATAGGTTAAAATTCTGGGAGGCCCCCAACTTACAGATCTACTGTGTTTTAAAAAATTTGCTTGCAAACCAGCTGCTCGTAATAGGGAATACACTTTTCTCCCCATAGAAATAATGTTATAAACAGTGATTAGGTTTCCAGGTTAGTCTGCAACACCTATTTATCCATAATGTTACTTCACTACTATGTATTTGCAATGAAAAAGTAGCAGAAAGCAATGAGATGGCGGCCATTTGCATCACATAGCAGTTCTTCTTTACTCATTCACGTTTCAGCTCAGCTTGTAGTCTGGGAACAGTGCCCAGCCGATCAACTTTTAAATTTACTATTATAGTATTGTATTTATACAGCATTCCTACCTTTTAATGGGCATGGCTTAAATTATTAATTGTTTTTATGTCAACATAAAGAAGGGGGAGAACCACCTCTGAGAAAGAGCGGAAGTTTTTGGGCAGGTGAAATGCCCATGGGCCGGCTAGGGGACCTTGAGAATCTGACTCTATTATGGTAGAATCTCTCAGCAAAAATGTACCACTTACTCAACCTTGAAAAAGAAACTCTGCACTCAGAAATGTAACTTCTACTTCCGACCCCTCAAATTTCATCAGCATCCTCTAATATAATTGTTCACCGAGAGTAGACAGTCCCTGAAGGAAACTGATAAGTAAACATCAAGTAATTGGCTTAAAGGTGGGAGTTGGTATGACCTGTTCCAAAGATTCTATACTGATATAATATCAGAAAACTTTTAACAAGGACACAATCCGGCCTTTCTCTAAGCAACAAGAGACAGTGTCCATGCTGGGAGAAGGTTTTGCTACAAGAGCATCCCAAGGTCTTCCACCAAGTGA